TTTTGAATAAAATTAAGTTGCAGGGTCTAGATCGAAAGAAAACAGAAAATTAAAGCCCTAATCGTGGTAAAAGTTTCAGAAAATTTAGGGCCAATTTGAATAAATAAAGTTTGGGGTCTAAACGAAAGAAAACAGAAATTTAAGGGCCTAATACGAAAAAACAGAAGATTAGGGGCCTAATCTGAAGTTACAGGAACTTTAGGGACCTAATCTGAAGTTACAGAAAATTTAGGGACCTAATCTGAAGTTACAGAAAATTAAGGGACCAATATGAAATTATAGAAAATTAAGGGACTGATATGAAATTACATAAAATTAAAGGACTAATATAAAATTTTCCAGGGACCTAACCGTAATTTTTCATCCCTAACCTCGACACAAAAACGAGCAGAGACAAAACAAAGAAAAAAAAGAACCAGGTCCGCCGCCAACAAAAAAAAATAAAATACAAACGAACAATTAATGCGTTAAGTGGCGTCTAGTTCAAAACCTCGCTTAACCTGTTCTTGGGGATCCGAAGAACAGTGAGAACAAAAAAATATATATATAGCATTTTTTTTTTTTTTATTAAACCAAAACCCTCAAGTCTGATAAACAGTAGGGTAAACAAATAAATAAAAAAAAACTACGAAAAAAACCCAATCTAAAAATCTTAGCAATTATTGCACAAGGGCTCTGATACCACTTGTTATGAAATTAATCTCAAATAATTCCACAATAAGCCTAGATCGTGCAATCAGCTTAGATTCAACAAAATAGATTGAATAAGAAGAAGGTGCGTACCTGACATCATGTTCGTCGATCTTATGTTGTAGAATTAGGGTTTGCAGCGCTTCCAGAGAAATTGAAAGAATCGAATTTTTGCGGAAGCAGTACGAAAGGAACGTAAAATGAACCGTATCAACTCGCTCTGGGGGACCCACGACTTTATCATACCTGTAGGGTTTCGTACAATCCTATTTCGGGTCCTTTAACAAAATAGGAATATATAATGGTCTCTTACACTTAATATCATAATTAGTTGAATACCGTCAATATCAATTAATTACACAATCAGACCACAATTTGAATTGACTTTACAATTGGACTGCTAGTACATATTTAATTTTAACATATTAACGTCAAGACCACATTTGAAATTGACTTTACAATTGGACTGCTGTACATATTTAATTTTACATATTAAGCCCACAATAGAAAATTAAATCCAACATATTATACCAAACTGACAAAGCAGACCAAAACACAAATCAGTTCAAACAAGTAACAAAAATTTCTACTTTGAATTAAACAGTGTAGAATTAATTAAGAAGTACGCAAACCTAATTTCTTTCCACGATTTTCACAGATCAGTCCATTTTGGAAGTGGAGGAGTAAATTCATGTTTCCTGTTTAATACTTCATCTCCTTCAAATTTTCTTCATTATGGAAATAAAATAAATTAATCGAATTATTATTCCTTTTGCCTATATATATATCTTTGAACATGCAAGGATGTGTGAATGTCTGGCTGATTTGTGACTTTCTGGGGCGGTGAATTTTGAGGCTATCTGATATAAATGTCTCCAATAATTTTTCAAATCTTGGAAAAATAAGACCCAAGGAGATTACATTGTTGAAGGCAAATGTACACAGTATATATGTTAATGGTAATTCTTTAATTTCGTTGCTTATGCATGCATAATTATTACAATTTGTCAGACAAAACTCAGTAATTAATACTTAACCCAAAGTTTGCTTAAAGCTTGAGAGGCGGTTTAGGTAATGCTTGACTTGGCAGTTTCTATTTGTATGAACTTTTTTATTAATTGCTCTTGGAAAAATCATGCCATGCGCTTATATATTTGTGTGCATACTCACTTTGCTTTCACATTATTTTAATTGTGCAATTATGAATTTTTTACCAAAATTTACAAAAGATTGACACTGGGTCTTAACTCTTATGTACAGTAGTGTAATCTTTGAACGCTGTGCTGCAATCTTTCAACATGTAAATATACCAGAAAGACAATCATGTAATTAAGAAAAAGGAATATACCTATTCATCAATTGTTAAATTTCCAAGATTTGCGTAGCTTAACTTTGTGATTTAATTATCAATCTTGGGAAGTCACAAGTGTCTGTTATTTCACTATAGGGACTGCATTCCGTTTCTGGTAATATTCAATTGCTTGTAGTAGGTAGATGTAATTTTCACATATTTGGTTTAGCTTTAAGCCTTAAATTTTTTTTTATTTGAACGATCATTCTGTAACATTCTCAGTCAAACTAATATTTACATAAAGATCAAGTCCTTTCTTTAAGCGAGAACAAATTCTGTTTGTGCTGTGATCAATAAGATGAGAAGAATTTTTTGGCAATACCCTTTGGATAGTCCTGGAGATTAAATCAAGTAGAAAGGTCCACAGTGTTGGAGAAAAGATACGAGCAAAGAATGAAACTCTTGTCTGTATAAATGGAGAAGTAGGGAACCTAGTGCTATGTGATCCAAAAGGCATGGCCAAAAACATGTCTGTCACACTCTATGGTTTCTTTGCATCCCATAATTTTATTTATTTATATTTTTTTTCACAACGATTTATGTTTTCAAAAGGTGCATGTCTCGATTTGTAGTGCTCTATCTGTAATAAGATTTCACATGATGCAACGTGGATCATGGAAAATATAATCGTAGATCAAATTGAGGTGAGTATTTAATGGGACAGGTTAAGTTGTTATTCTCAAAAAATAACAACAAAACACATTATCTATGTGAGGAAAATACAAAACGACATGCCATTTATTTAAGGAAAATATAGAAAAATTATTATACCATCTTTTATGACATATTGGCATTTAATATAAAGTTAAAAATTAAAAATAAATTAAAGTAAAATTTTATACCATCAGCGTCTCATTATATTACTTCTTCGTAGAATAATTGGTTATGAAAGGAAATTATTGAAAAGGTTTTATCTTTTCTAGGTTTTTTGGTCTCAAAATTAAGGTTGACACATTACAAGCCAGTGATATTTCAGTATTTTAGCAGTTTATTCCGGTAAACTTTAGCCTCTTGTGTTCCAAAACAAAAGGGGTAAAGCTTATTTATGCCTTTTCTTTTTAGTTTTGAGGTAGTTTGTAAGAAAAACAAATGGCATTCACTAAGACTCCATTGATGGGGGCCTCGTGACCATGAAAAGACACTACTCCTCCATTATAGTTTTGCCTAAAATGAAATATGCTTCAAACTCGAAACTAAATAGTTCGATTATGGATAGGACTTTTTTTTTTTTTTTTTGAATTATGGATAGGGACTTTTTTTTTTTTTTTTTTTTTTTTTTTTTTTTTTTTTAAATTCATCGTAGGCTTTTATGGACCGAATTAACACTGCCGACTATACAATAACATATAGTCTCTCTTTCTGTAATCGAAATGATTTGAACTTAAGGCTTCCTATTTTTCATATAAGTGAGAAGACCAACCAGACCATCACTTAATTGACCAATTATAAATAAGATGTCTTATCCTATTTTTGTTTTGTGGATATGGGAAATTTTAGTTTGGTTCTTAGGAAATAAATATATATGATGTCGGTTTGATTATTCTCATTAGCTGCTTTCAATATTTGCATGTGATAGTAAACTTTAGCCTCTTTATCTTTCTTTCAAAAAACAAAAATTAATGTCTTTCTTGATAAAATATGGATGGTCTCCTTTCCATTTCAATTAAGGACAGTAAAGAATGTGACCAACAAAAATGTCATTCGAACACGTGTCATCTGGGTACGTAAAAGTAAAAATAATCAGACCCATATTATCTATTTAAGAAAAATGTAATAAAGGGTGTATATATGGTGTTATATATATATATATATATATATATACTATATATATGCAATCCATCCAATAAAAGTTAAGGACTATATATATATGCAATCCATCCAATAAAAGTTTAAGGACTAACCAACATATACCATTTCCGTTTTAAATATTTATCACGTTTAAGAAAGTATTATATTTTCAAATACTTGTTACTTTCGTGGATTTTAAAAATAATAACTTGTTTTTATTTTTACCCTTTGTACTTTAATAAATAATAAAATTGGATTTAACGAATGAGAGCTACAATATATAGCTTCAACTCAACCGTCTTTTTGAGAAGAGCCCCATAAACTAACATAATTAGCCCTGGAAAATAAATTTCATAAACTTTCCGCAATATCCTTTATTACGATTAACGTTTGATAATACGTAATTAGTGTAGTTTGAATATACATTCAGCCCAGCATTATAATTAATTAAGCTACTAAATTTTGATTTTGTTTCTGGTCAATAATTAAGAGACTTTTGCTTTTCAAAATTCTTGATTAGATCGATTATGGGTTTTACACAAAATAATACAAAGCAGAAAATAGAAAATTAATTAATTAATTATCGAATAAAATTAATTTGGTTGGGAAGTCAAAATGGTGAAAAGACTTGGTGCATATTGGCTGGAGAATGGCATTTTTTCCAACAAGAAATCATAGCAGAAATGTGTCGGTAACTCCTTCCATGTGGCTGTATTTGGCTGCGCACAATTCTAATATTGGATCCACTACATACATGGTATTTTATCAGTGTCACACCATTTCTTTAATCAGGTAACAAGGAGTATAGATAATTTGAAAGTGCTTTTTACTTTATTTTTGGGTATTAGTTCACCATTTGTGGGTTGTTTTATTTACCATGTTGGTTAATTAATCTATAAATTTTGTTTTAGAGCTGGTTAATTAATTAATCTCATTAATCAAAGAAATTAATTAAAAAAAACAGAAAAAGGAAGAAGGAAATTTCTGTAAGCTTTGAGGGGGGCTAAGTCCAACCAACAACGATAGTCTTTCCGCGGTCAAAAAAACATCATCAATTAGCCAATGCGTATTGTCGGAGAACTGTGATCCATTTCTCTCTCCCCTTCCTCCTATCCTATATAAATATCCTTTCTCTTCCCGCCTAACACTTACACTCCAATACATTCCTTATTCATACATTTCTAACGTATTGACATATAAACATAATAAATATGTTATCTAGCAAAGCTGAAAGTGAATCGCATGGCCAAGACTCTTCCTACTTCCATGGCTGGATAGAGTATGAGAAGAATCCTTACCATCCACTTCACAATCCTAACGGGATTCTTCAGATGGGACTTGCAGAGAATCAGGTCACCTTCTTCAGATGTGTGTCTTTATTTTTTAATACCACTACCACCTTTCGTCATCACTTGTCTACTTGTTTTTCTTTACCTTTTGCTCATATTAGCCTGTCTCATTTTTCATCTGCGTCTTTTTGCTACTATTTTCTCACGTGTGAATTTCCACTTTATGATCAAAATGTGGTTCCCTTAACAACAAATACAAAACCAGATGACGTACTCTATTTTACTTTTTACAACCAAGGTTTTCTTTTGTTAAGTTTGATCTCTGTCTGGATGTTTGAATTACCAATCACATTCAGTCGATCTTTTGATAATACCACCGATGACTCTTTTTTTTTTTTTTTTTTTTTTTTTTTGAATTACCAAATCACATTCAGTCGATCTTTTGAAATACCACCGAAGTGACTCTTTTTTTTTCTTTTTTTTTTTTTTTTTTTTTTTTTTTTTTTTTTTTTTTTTTTTTTTTTTTTTGGGTTTTTCAGCTTTCCCTTGACCTTCCTGAATCTTGGATAGAAAACAACCCAGACGCAGTGGGGTTGAAGAGAAATGGAGAATCTATTTTCAGAGAATTGGCACTCTTCCAAGACTATCATGGCTTACCTGCTTTCAAGAATGTATATATTTCTCACTTTATTTCATTTATAGCTCGTTAAAATAAATTCATGTATGGAGATAAATCTAATATTGTGCTCAATTTTATTTATTCAGGCGCTCGGGAATTTCATGGCTCAAATAAGAAGAAACAGAGTTAAATTTGATCCAAACAAGCTTGTGCTAACTGCCGGTTCAACTTCTGCTAATGAGACTTTAATGTTTTGCCTCGCTGAACGTGGCGATGCCTTCCTTCTTCCTACACCATACTATCCTGGGTAACTTTTCTTTTCTTTTATAAATAAACAAGCTAGTTTATATTCTTTCATTCATGTCTAAGAGAAAATAGCTTAATTTATGGCAGGTTTGACAGAGATCTAAAATGGCGAACAGAGGTTGAAATTGTTCCAATACATTGCACAAGTTCAAACGGGTTTAGGATTACCGTGTCTGCATTAGAAAAAGCCTATCAAGAAGCCCTAAAACTCAAGCTTAGAGTAAAGGGGATATTCATAACAAATCCTTCAAACCCATTAGGCACATCCATGAACCGATATGAGCTTAGCCTTATTATTAGCTTTGCCATAGCAAAACATATCCACATTGTGAGCGACGAAATATATTGTGGCACCGTTTTTGACAAACCTAACTTCATAAGCATCAGAGAAGTCCTAATGGATCAAAGACAGCTAGAGAACACTGATATATGGCGCAGGATTCATATTGTTTACAGTAACTCAAAGGATCTAGGCCTTCCGGGTTTTCGAATTGGCATGATTTACTCCGATAATGAAACAGTAGTTGCTGCTGCAACTAAAATGTCTAGCTTTGGTTTAATTTCATCACAAACCCAATACCTCGTCTCCAGCATGCTTTCTGACAAGAAGTTTATTACCAACTACTTGAAGGAAAATCGAAAGAGACTGAAAAACAGGAAAGAAATGTTTGTCTCGGGGCTCCAAAATGCAGGGCTCAATTGCTTGAAAAGCAATGCGGGATTGTTCTGCTGGGTTGACATGAGGCGTCTGTTAAGCTCACAAACTTTTGAAGCAGAAAAAGAGCTATGGAAATTGATTGTAGATGAAGTTGGGTTAAACATCTCTCCTGGATCTTCTTTCCACTGCTTTGAACCAGGTTGGTTTAGAGTTTGCTTTGCAAATTTATCAGAAGAAATGCTAGATGTTGCAATCGGACGTATTAAAGACTTTGTATCCTCTAATCAAAATTGTAAGTGCCATCACCAAATGGTCACTGTTAACAAGTGGGCTTCTAAGTTATCATTAGGTGATGATCGCGAACCAGATCGTTAAATAGGTCTATCTGTATGGACAAATGATCGAGTTATCTACTCAATTTTGTAATTATTAATTTTTTAATATTTGACTTTATCGAGTACAATATAGTGGGTTTTCAACATTATTTATTTATTTATTTTTTTTGGTAAAAAAGGAGAGCTAGGCTCTAATATTACAAACAGTGTTAGAATAAGAGACGCCCATAATATCACGTAGAAGCCACGACCCAATGCCATGAGGAGGATCAAAAAGGAAATGATTGCCCATGGGAAATTCATTAATAAAATTTGAAAATCATTTTTCTTATACTATTACAAAGTTGAAAAGTAAATATAAATAAAAAAAATTGACAAATTTAAACCTAAAATTTATATGAAGTTATTAATTATTAAAAAAATTGAAGAATTTTTTAATTTAATTATGCAATTAACTTATTGTTTGGATTATTAATTATTAATAAAAAAAAGCTAAAGAGTTCTTTCATTAATGCAATAAACTTATTACAGGGTTATTAGTCATTGAATTCGATTAGTACATACAGGTAATTAAAATTTATGTTTCAAGAGTTTTTTCCAAAAAAAAAAGACAAAAATTTAAAAGAAAATTAGATATAATTCTTAATTTTACTTTTGTAAAAATTTTGTTTGGTATTGATTAGATTATGGTTTTAATCAAAATTATTAAAAGCAATTAATTAATTAATTCATTATAATTATCAAATAAAATTAATTTAGTTGGGAAGTCAAAATAGTGAAAGACTTGGTGCATACATTTTGATTGGAGAATAGCATTTTCTTTTTCTCACAAGAAATGATGGCAGAAATGCGTCGGTAACTCCTTCCACACAATTCTAATTTACTGGTTTGTTTTATGCACCATGTTGTTTAGGCATTAGTTAGATAAATCAAAGGATGTAAATCACACGTTATTAGAACAAATTGTAATAAATTATATGAACATAAAATGAAAATAAAGCTGGCGCAACATTTATCAATTGGAAATTATTGACGCTGATGTTTTGGCCCACTAGCATATGCAGCTTCAAAACCTAAAATTATTGTCACTCTTTTTGTTATATTTGTTTCTCGTTTCCAAGCTCTTTGTAACATGGCCCTGCCTTATCCAGAGATATATCTTGACTTGAGAGAACACAAAGTTGTGCTTGTTTTAACATCATGTTGTCTCCTTCTGAAGATTGTTTGAATAGAAACAAGCACTTGTGAGACAATTATAATGTGAAATAGGACTTCCAAGTTTCTGTCTTAATGCCACTACGACACCCTGCCCTCTTTTTTCCCATATCAAAAGCTTTTGTTAGGTCTTAAATGGTTGATTCTGTGGGGGTATGTGTCCCCTTATACGCTTCTGTTGTTGGGTTGTTACTGTGCTAAATGGAGGAATTATTACAGACAATTTTGCTTCTGTTTCTGTACATTGATTCTAATTGACCCGGTTTACACGTGTAGGAGAATTTCTTAAACTTTATGAAAGCAATCTCCTATTTAATTTCAACCTTCTTCTTTTGCAAATTTACCCTAATGATAATACATCTTTCGACCTAAGTATAAATCCAAGTTCAACGTGAAAGTGAAAAATATAAATATATATTTAAATTCTTTCCACAATTTCACAGATCAGTGCATTTTGGAAGTGAATGATGTTTCCTGTTTAATGCTTCATTTCCTTCAAATCCTTCTCATTAAATCAATGGAATTATTTGTTCCTTTTGCCTATATATGTATGGAAATGCAAGCAAGGAAGTGTAAATGGCCGGCGGACTTGTGACTTTGTGGGACGGTGCAGTTTGATGCTCGTGGCAGCATTATAAACATTACATTCATCACGTAACTATATATATATCCAATAATTTTTGAAATCTTGGAAAATTAAGATAAGAATATTATAATGTTAAATTTGATAATTTTGAGTTTTAACAAAAAAAAAAAAAAAAAAAAAAAAAAAAACAAAAAAAAAAAAAAAAAAAAAAAAAAAAAAAAAAAAAAAAAAAAACCCATTGAAAAAAAAAACATTAGTGAAGTGAGCGGATCAGGGTAAGATCGAAGTAATGCTAATTTAATTAAAACAAAATTGAGTGCAAATATCTAGATAAAGGGTAAAATTGAAATAAATTACTTAATGTTATTTTAATTTTTTAAATGGAACAAAAAGAAGTCAAAAAATTATTAAATTTAACTGAACGAGCATGTGTTAATATTAATTCATTAATTTCCTTGCTCGTTCAACACATGCATGCATAATTATTACATTTATCAGACAAAACTGAATAATTAATACTTGACCTAAAGTTTGCTTCAAGCTTAAGAGTTGGTTTAGGTAATTCTTGACTTGGCAGTTTCTATTTGTATGGTCTTTTTTATTAATTGCTCTTGGAAAAATCATGCCATGAGCTTATATATTTGTCTACATACTCGCTTTGCTTTCATATTATTTTAATTGTGCAATTATGAATTTTTTTACCAAAATTTACAAAAGGTCTTAACTCTTACGTACAGTAGTGTAATCTTTTAATTTCGTTGCTTATGCATGCATAATTATTACAATTTGTCACACAAAACTCAGTAATTAACACCTAACCCAAAGTTTGCTTAAACCTTGAGAGATGGTTTAGGTAATTCTTGACTTGGCAGTTTCTATTTGTATGACCTTTTTTATTAATTGCTCTCGGAAAAATCATGCCATGCGCTTATATATTTGTGTACATACTTACTTTGCTTTCACATTATTTTGATTGTGCAATTATGAAATTTTTTTACCAAAATTTACAAAAGATTGACGCTGGGTCTTATGTATAGTACTGTGCTACTGTAAGAGGCAAACTAGCCACAATCTTTGAACATATAATACCAGGACAATCATGTAATTAAGAAAAAGGACAATACATATTCATCAATTGTCAAATTTCAAATTCCAAGATTTGCTTAGCTTAGCTTAACTTTGTAATTTAATGATTACTATTGGGAAGTCACAAATGACTGTTATTTCACTAACGGGGGAATGCATTTCATTTCTGGTAGTACTCAATTGCTTGTAGTCGGTAGCTGTAGCTTTCATACGACGTTATAGGCTTTCAGCCTTAGATTTTTAATTTTCAATTATCAGTTATTTGTAATATTCTCACTCAGACTAATATTTCTATCAAGATTAAGTCCTTTTTCTTTAAGCCAGTATAATCATATTCTGTTTGTGTTTTGATCAATAAGATGAGAAAAATTTTGCCAATAACCTTTGGATAGCCCTAGAGTTAAATCAAGTGAAAAGGTCACGGTGTTGGAGAGAAGATACCAGCAAAGAATCAAACTCTTGTCTGTTTAAATGGAGAAGTAGGGGACATAGTGTTATGTTATCCCGAAAAGCATGGCCAATCACATATCTAAATGTAAAAGTATAGGGTTATAATAGGTTCCTGCAAACTTGAGGATGTCACAAAGTAAATTACGTAAACTTCACGGGTAAATATATGCATTTGGGCGCTAGATTTGTAGCCCTCTATAACAAGATTTCATATGATGTAAACATGGATCCTGTGAAATATAAATGTAGATAGATTGGATTGGGATGATTATCCAACCTGACAAGTAAAATTATCGTAGAAGAAGGTAACAAAATATGTGTCAGCTAATCACACGTCATTTATAAAAAAAATTGGAAACAACTAGACATGTGTCATCCATTTAAGAAAAGTATAGAAAAGAGCCAATAAAATATCTTATCTATTCAATAAGACTAAACAACGTTATTTCTTTTGCGACAACGTTAAGGTTAAAATATTGGTATGTAAGTGAAAATAAAACCAACTATTTAGCCTCTTGTCTTCCAAAATAAAAGGAGGCAAAAAAGTTAGTGTCTTTCTTTTTGGTTTTGAGGTAGTTGATAAGAAAAACAAATGGCATTCACTTTATAAAGGCAAGAGCACCATTGATGGGGGACTGAAAGGAACTAAATACTAGTAATTCTAAAACCATGAAAAGACACTACTCCACTAGCTATGCCTAAAATGAAACATGTTTAAAACTTGAAATTAACTAATTCTATTGTATATGGATAGGGTTTCTTATCCTGTTTTTGTCTTGTGGATAGGTGAAATTGCTCCATCCATTCCAAAAATTTTTGAAGTTTGGTTCTTAGGAAATAATTAATGTCACACGTTCAACAAGTACAAAATGTGCTCAATTTTACAATATGTCAATAATGGGATTGCACTAATTATTAGGCTCCAAACTGTGTTTTTCTTTTAAAAAGTTTTGGACTTGAAAGTTCTTTTTTTAATTTTAAAATTTCAAGATTAATTCGTTTCGTTTGTGATTGATCACTTTTATATATTATATATGCATATATTATTATATATCTAACAAGGAATTTATCCGATTGCTAATAATTTTTTTAGTAATTTTAAGATCCAAAACTTATTGATTCTAATCAATTAAAAATAAATAAAATTCAAGATTAATTAGAAAATGATTATATATAAATAAATATATAGATGATTGAACTTAATCTGCAATATCTCTACTTCAACTTAAAAGGCAGTAGAAAATTAATAATAATGATTAAATTTAATTGAAAACTTACTTCATTTCCAAAGATCAAAATTTTCATCAAGAAACATAAATTATCGTAGAAAAAAATTATGAAAGCTAAATTGTCTTCAGAAACATACGTTTTAGAAAAAAAAATTATGGAAGTTAGCTAATCATATACATACAGATGTAAATAAGAAGAACTTAAAAATTTCAAGGTCCTAATTATCTATATATTTATTCAAAAAATAAATTTAAACATACAATATATCTATTTATAAAAAATGAATTTTTTAAAATAAATTAAGTGTTTAATCATTGTGGAATTCCTAACACTGGTGCTACTTTTTCAACCTTCTTTTGAACGGAGCCATATAATTAGCTTAGCAAATAAATGTCATACATTTTTCGTAATTTCTTTTATTACGATTAATATTTACAGCCCAACATTAAAATTAAATCAGCTACTACATTTTGATTTTTTTTATAGGCAGTAGGCACAATTAATTAAAGGCTGAAAAAGGATTAGAATGTCTAATCTTGATTAGATTATAGTAAGTTTTACTCAAATTTAGTTAATAAAAACTGAAAAAAAGGAAATTAATTGATTAATTAATTAAACATCAAATTGGTTGGGAGGTCAAATAGTGAAAGACTTGGTGCATTCATTTTGGCTGGAGAATGACATACTTTCCAACAAGAAATGATAGCAGAAATGTGTCGGTAACTCCTTATTTGGCTGCCCAGAATTCTAATTACTGGATCCACTACATGCATATCACACCATTTCTTTACCTAGGTAAGCAGTATAAATAAATAATTTTGAAGTATTTGTTTTAGAGCCAGAAATTAATGGAAAAAGAAAAGAAATATTTGTAAGACATGAGGGGCGCTAAGTCCAACAATGGTTCTTTCTGTGGTCAAAAATGAAACAGGCAAACAGCATCATCAACTGAACCAGTGCGTATCGTCGGCGAACTGTGATCCATTTCTATCTCCCCCTCCTCCTATCCTATATAAATATCCCTTCTCTTCCCTCTTAACACTTGCACTCCAGTACATTTCTTATTCATACATTTACGTATTCACATTCATATAAACATATACAATAAATATGCTATCTAGCAAAGCTGAGGGTGAATCGCATGGCCAAGACTCTTCCTACTTCCATGGCTGGAGAGAGTACGAGAAGAATCCTTACCATCCACTTCATAATCCTAACGGGATTCTTCAGATGGGACTTGCAGAGAATCAGGTCACCTTCTTCAGATGTGTCTTTATTTTTCAGTACCGACGCCACATTTCTTCAATCGCTTGTCTGCTTGTTTTTCTTTGCTTTTTGCTGATATTAGCCTCTCCCATTTTTCATCTACTTTCTGCAAATCCTGGAGAGACTATTTTCTCACGTGTGAATTATTTGTTTCTTTATAAATTATCTGGACACTGTTTTATAAGCCCATTATATGTTCTGTCCCCTGTCTTTCAATATAAACAGAGCTACTATTATTTGCATACGACACCGTTTTAAAAAATTTTGTAATTGTATATTTCTTGCTAGGAAAATGTATGAATGGTTTGCTTTACAGTGCAAGGAGAGGCCATGTGTAGCATTTTGGAATTTCGATATATAACAACATAGTATATAAAATCAAAACACGTACTCTGTTTTGCAGCTTTCCCTTGACCTTCTTGAATCTTGGATAGAAAACAATCCAGACTCAATGGAGTTGAAGAGAAATGGAGAATCTATTTTCAGAGAATTGGCACTCTTCCAAGACTATCACGGCTTACCTGCTTTCAAGAATGTATATATTTCTCAATTTATTTCATTTATAGCTCATTAAAATAAATTCATGTATGGAGATAAATCTAATATTGTGCTCAAATTTATTTATTCAGGCGCTCGGGAATTTCATGGCTCAAATAAGAAGAAACAAAGTTAAATTTGATCCAAACAAGCTTGTGCTAACTGCCGGTTCAACTTCTGCTAATGAGACTTTAATGTTTTGCCTCGCTGAGCGTGGCGATGCCTTCCTTCTTCCTACACCATACTACCCTGGGTAACTTTTCTTTTCTTTTATATATAAACAAGCTAGTTTATATTCTTTCATTCAACTCCAAGAGAAAATAGCTTATTTTTATGGCAGGTTTGACAGAGATCTAAAATGGCGAACAGAGGTTGAGATTATTCCAATACATTGCACGAGTTCAAACGGTTTTCGCATTACCATGTCTGCATTAGAAAAAGCCTATCAAGAAGCCCTAAAACTCAAGCTTAGAGTAAAGGGGATATTCATTACAAATCCTTCAAACCCATTAGGAACATCTATGACTCGATATGAGCTTAGCCTTATTATTACCTTTGCCATAGCTAAACATATCCACATTGTAAGCGACGAAATATATTGTGTCACTGTCTTTGACAACCCTAACTTCATAAGCATCAGAGAGGCCCTAATGGATCAAAGACAGCTGGAGAACACTGACATATGGCGCAGGATTCATATTGTTTACAGTAACTCAAAGGATCTAGGCCTTCCGGGTTTTCGAATTGGCATGATTTACTCCGATAATGAAACAGTAGTTGCTGCTGCAACTAAAATGTCTAGCTTTGGCTTAATTTCATCACAAACTCAATACCTACTCTCCTGCATGCTTTCTGACAAGAAGTTTATTACCAACTACTTGAAGGAAAATCGAAAGAGACTGAAAAACAGGAAAGAAACGTTTGTCTCGGGGCTCCAAAATGCAGGGCTCAATTGCTTGAAAAGCAATGCGGGATTGTTCTGCTGGGTTGACATGAGGCGTCTGTTAAGCTCACAAACTTTTGAAGCAGAAAAAGAGCTATGGAAATTGATTGTAGATGAAGTTGGGTTAAACATCTCTCCTGGATCTTCTTTCCACTGCTTTGAACCAGGTTGGTTTAGAGTTTGCTTTGCAAATTTATCAGAAGAAATGCTAGATGTTGCTATCGGACGTATTAACAACTTTGTAGCCTCTAATCGGAACGGTACGTGCCATCATCAAATGATCAGTGATCAAAGATCGTTTATCAACAAATGGGTTTCTAAATTATCATTAGGTGATGATCGCGAATCGGATCGTTAAAGAAGCTATATGTATGAACAAATTTTTTTTAATCTTTCTAGCTAGACGATTATATATAGAGGATAGAAATTATTTACGTACGTATACTACATTCATCCATCCTTTGTTGCTGTATGTTTGATTTGTATAGTTTCGTCTGTTCCTCCTTATATGATAGTCTACCAAAACAAGTTGTTTATTAAATCTTCCAATGTAATTACACGAGCATGTGAAAAGAAAGAGTTGTATTCTAATCCGAATATGGAAATATGTGTGCAAATAAAAAAAAGGAAAAGATAAAAAATAAAAAGTAATTTGCAGAGTAAAAATAAAAGTAAAAATTACTCTTACCTCTGCATTTGAATTAATGAAGAAAACAACATATTACAGTAAAAAAATAATTTTCAATTCAAATTGCTCAGGAAGTTGCACTTTCCCTAGCATTTCTCTTCAATTTAGAAAATCTTACAATTCTCAATTCACTCTCTCGCATTTCTCAATCTTCTCCTAATAGAAGAGTTGTATTTCCTTACCTACCTTTCTTTTTCAACTTTTCCCTCTTACCTTTTCCATTGTTTTTCTGTTCTCCATGAAAAAAACCAAGGGAAAAATGTCATTGTCAAATTCAATTAAAGAAACTTTTTGAATCAGTGACAATCATTTACAGAGTGTTTAGTTCAATTGATTTTTCCAACCGTTAAAAGTTTCAAGCAGATTCCATTAGTTATATTTTAAAATTTTTTTATATTCGTTATAGTTAATTTATATTTTAAATTCTGTTTAAACTTCGTTAACCTCATAAAAAAATTAATAATTAAATTATATTTTCTTTAAATTAATATTTTTTATGATCATTTTGTTTATAGTTAATTAAAAATAAATTTCTATTAGATCTTGTTTTTTAAAAATTTCATTAATATTTTAAAAATAAAAATAAAATAATATATTTACATTAAAATTTTTAATATCCATATATATACAATGAAAAATAATTAATAGTGATTTTCAAATTTAAATTGTAAACGATGACAAAGTTGTTCCACTGGCAAAATCCATTCTATTTACAAGTGATTTTCATATGCTCTCCAATTTTTTCTGCCAACTGTAATAACAAATGGCAGGCCATAGGCGCAGCAAAAGCACACCCAGATTAGGCCCATTTATTACAGTTATATAACTTGAGGCCCATCTAAGCCATAACTCATAATCCATTGGCTTATCTGTAATCCAGATAGATCGCGATGCACCGTAACATACATCCCGCTTAAACCGCCGTTTCCACACTGCGTTAGAAGGTTATAGAGTCTTATAAGTTACTTCCATTACATTTGCAAGCACAGTTTGGTTGGTTTAGAGTTTCATAACTGGACTTGTCCCTTCCTGTCTGCCACGTGGCGCTTCCGTCGCTTTCTCCTGAATATCCATTAATGTGACAACGTGGCATTCCCTGTTCAGCTTTACCGATTTTCCATATTACTTTACCATTAATATTCTCCAAACTGATTCTATAATTTTTATTTTGCGTGTAGTAACCAACTGCATTCTTTTTCTTCCTAATTTAAGTTTGCCGGAGTTTTTCTTTCAAAAAAAGTTTGCCGAAATTTCTATTTTTTTTTAATTTTAGAGTTTATATCGTTCGCGCTGTTTCTATCTCTTCTCTGTTCGATGAATTTTTCTGTCTCTTTCTTCTTGTTCATGTGAAGTTGAAGCAAACGCGTGTCATTGGCATATAAGCCTTTGACACGATTTCAATCATTGTTCTCGCTTCGCCTTTTTAACACGTCCTTTCACTTGGATTTTCTCTGCGTTTGATTTCTCGTCGGTGAATTGCTGTTCGCGTTATAATACTTTTTAACAGGTAGAGTTTCGTTATATTTCATTTTTGTGTTTAGTTACATTTCTTTTTTCCTCCATGTTTTCTTATATACATTGCCAATTTCGTTTCGTTGGATTTTATATATGCTGATCGGTTGGTCATTGGTTTAAAATTCATTGTTCCTTAGGTTGTAGAGTTGGGAAAGTAAGAAAGTTATCAAAATCTTGTTGTAGTAGGTGTTTGCAGAAGATTAGATTTTAACTAAAGAGAAAATTGATATTAGGTTTTAGGATAACTTTTGGGAGTAAGATTAAGCAGGGTTAGAATTAGCAACAGCTTGGTTTCATTCTAAATAATCAGCAATATGGAGACTAATCTGGACATCTTGTTTCTGAATAATTTGGAAAGTTTGCGTCAGTTTAGGAGCTTGATTGGTGCAGCACTAGTCGGTTGCAGGTAATTTATTTAGTAGTAACATCTGTTGGACTTGTACTTTCTTCATGTCTATTCTTTGGTATGCATGAGAGATGCAGTTTGGTAAGTGTTTCTTATTTATTTAATTATTGATATTATCAAATAGACATGATAGGTGAAATCAATCTTTAAATTTTTATGTTTCTCCCTGCAATGATTCTCACTCTCTGTTATCCACTTTTGCCATGAATTTGTAATGATTACAGATACGGTAGAGACAGATGGACATTGGTGCCCTTTTAACTTCAGCTGGGATCAATATTGCCTTGTGCATCTTGCTTTTTTCATTATATTCAATATTGAGAAAACAACCGAGCAATAGGGTTGTGTATTTCGGACGGAGGCTTGCTTCAGTGCGTATTAGGAACAATGATTTCTTCTCCATTGACAGATTTGTGCCTTCTCCTAGTTGGATTTGGAAGGCCTGGGAAACAACTGAAGAAGAAATATTGGCCATTGGCGGCCTTGATGCATTGGCTTTTCAAAGGATGCTGACTTTCGGGTAATTAAATCCTTTCTTGATGAGTGTGCATAGAGTTCAAATTATATTTATGATAATTCTTCGTGGCGACTAAATAGAAAGTATGAAGTAAACTACTTAAACTGTTTTTGTTGTATATTCTCCCTAGAAATGTGTTCTTTCTTTATTTTATGGTGAATGCAACATGCATACTTTTTTTCATCCGAAGAACCATCTCAATTCCCATGGAGCTTGATGATTTTTGTTTTGGACAAGAATAAACCAAAAAGCTGATCTGGCGTGTGTAATAAGCAGCATTACAAGCTTCAACGAAGTTTATTTAACTTGATGAAACAAAATGTTTTAAATCTTTGGCTGGATCTTAGGGAATGCAGATTGGGTAATTATCAGTGAGAGAGTTTTATTTTCCTTTCAGGAAGATCATTGATCCTACAATTTCTGTCTGTGAGATAATTTATAATGTTAGTAAAACATACCAGAGGTGACTGAATTTTGAACTTTATTCCTATTCGTTTGTTTTGTTGATTTTGTTGTAACTGATTTGGCACTCTAGGATTCAGGATCAATAATCGATATTGTTAGGATTCCAATTCTAGTACGTCTCTTATTGTGGATGTTTATGTCTTCTTCCTTTACAGCATCCGGATCTTTTCTATTGCTGCAATCATTTGCCTTGTTCTAGTGCTTCCGATGAACTATTATGGCAAGGAGATGCAACACAAACATATTCCATCAGAATCACTGGATGTATTTACAATAGGGAATGTCAAAGAAGGTTCCAGATGGTATGAAATTTAGTTTCATGATAAACCCATTACTTGCTCTTGATAATGATTGGGAATGAGAAGTTCGACTTCTTTGTCCCTCTTTTAGGTGTTTAGGTCTGCTTTATAGTGTACCTGAACATTGAATTGGCCTCTGCTTATGTTGCCTATAATGGTAGATTGCTAACTTCTTGTTCATTTTTTATTCCTTTTAAGATATTTCATTCTGCTCTAGAAAATTTTGATTTTGTTTCTGGTGATTGATATTTGTAATGTCAATTCAATTACGAAACTTATGTTTGACACAATAAGATTTGGTTACTCATTCATTGCTATGTCTTTTTCAGGCTTTGGGCCCATTGTCTTGCTTTGTATGTCATATCCTGCGCATCCTGTCTTCTCCTGTACTTTGTAAGGATGTAATATATTTATCTATTTATTTGCATGCATAACAGATGCATTTCTTTCTGCTTATGTGAATATGTTATGATTGTTTAACCTTTGTGATTTTCTGTAGGAGTATAAAAGTATTACTCAAATGAGGCTAGCACATATAACCAGATCTCATCTGGATCCAAGTCATTTTACCATTCTCGTCCGTTCAATTCCATGGTCTCCAGGAGGATCATACAGTGATACAGTTAGAAATTTCTTTACTAATTATTATGCATCAAGCTACTTGTCACACCAAATGGTGTATCGACGGGGCATTATTCAGAAATTAATGGTTTGCAGCTCATTCTTGATATCTATATTAACTTCTTTTACCTGCAGCATAATGCTTTAGACATATTTAGCTGTTAATTAGATAAAATGTTCATAAATTCTTAGTTATATTTTTGTTAATGAAAACATGTTTAATAGTGACTCAAAATGAAAACCAGTTTGCATGATTTGATAGTTTGTTTGAAATTTTTTTCATTGGGTTAGCTTTTTATTGGGTGCGTTATTCATTATTTCAGGTGACACAAAGCTGGGATCAAGCATAAAGCACAATCCCAGGACCATCTAATTATTACACTATAAATTTCTTTCCATGCGTTTTCTGTAGGCTAGGATTTAGTATGTTATTCAGTCTAGTAACTTTCATCTGCTGCATTAGATCACTGCAAATTTGAATTTCTTCTGATAATGCATTTATGATCGTATGATTGTCATCAACAAGTGCTTTGTCATGGTACTCAATTGGCTTTCTCCTAATTTTAGAACTTTTATCTTAGGTATTGTTTGTAGGATCACAAGACATTTGTGTTTAATTTGGAAACTTTTGTCGTATCAAACACTGGCTGATTAACAGATGTCTTTGTTTTCCTTATTCATTTACAGACTCAATGAAGCTTTATTCCTATAACATGTTGTCGGAATGTTATTTAATTTTGTTTGGGCAATCATTTAATAAGTCGACAGATCGCGTTGTCCTTTTCCACTTTAAAATAATGTTGGTTAATTTCTATTTTTGTATAATTTTGTGTGTTTCTTATAGATTTGGTTCTTGAATCTCTTATTTGATATTTTGGAGTCATGGCCTAAGATGTTACTTGACCATTGCCATTAGTGTACAAGACTTACCATGATCATTAATCTCTCATATTTTCATATTGATTTTTGCATGCCCCACTCCCAATGATCTCATATTTAACCATTTTTAAGTCTTGACTGTAATGTGTCGTATTGTTTGTTATGCATTAATATTTATATGCCTGTATAAAGAGGGCGTTAAATGAAACCTTAAATCACTGTTTGAACCTTGATAAAATTTTAAAATTATTTTCAGTTTCTCTACATATTAATTTACTAAAATGTCCTTTATATAACATATGACCAAAATCTATTTTTATGCATACATAGAGGCAATGCCTTGTGCTTATGTTTCACACACCATAAAATTGTCAAATAACAACTACACTTTCATGCTTTTTATTACTAAAATATCTTAAAATAATTTTATGCATATGCTTTGAAGCTTTGTCTGAAAACTTTTAAAAAATCAGATTTCAATTGGATGTTTGAAAAGATTAGCAATTGTGCTTCCAAACTCTTACTTTTATACTATAGTTTATAACTCAAATTAAGGTTTTCTAATAAGTATCATTTGTATACCCATTGTATTTTATTATTTTTAAAATATTTAAGAATTTTCGCTCAGCCATTAATGTCTTAACAATGTATTTTTAGCCTTTATGATTTATTACAATTCTGTGTAGATAGTGATATTTTACTCAATATAATGCAACACATTAACAATCTCATAATCATTTTTATATAATAATATGAGATCTGGAAGACGAAATTCAAAAATAAAAGTTATTAGTGATAGGAACTATATCAAGATTTGATCTTTGTTGAACTAGTCACTTGAATGTTTTTTAGATCAAAATTCTTCCTTCTTTTTTTGGTTAATATTGTCAATAGTAAGTGAAGGTGGTGTAACAGTAAAGTTACTCCACTTGTGAGCTACAGGTCATGGGTTCGAGCCATGGTGATGACGTTGTTATAAAAAAGTAGGGGGAAGGTTGTGTACATCAATCTCCCTCACAGCCTACGCATGTGGGATGCTTCATGCTTTGATTGCCCCTGTTGTTGATAGTGAGTCATCAATTGTGCAGCACAGAGTGTCTGCTAGTTTTGGAAAGTTAGATGCTAAGATCATATGTAGACTTGTGTTTAATTTGAACTTGGTGTTCTATTTAGTTGGCACATGAAATACTAATGTAAAATGAATTGAGATGATATGCGGGTGTTGTTAATGATGATTGTTAGTGCTTGAGGCAGATTCCTAATTTTAGTGGAGGTTGTTGTATGTTATGTTGTTTTCCAAGACCAGGCAGTTCTTGAATTTGGGAAGTATTATTGAGCTTTTATTCTGGTAGTCAACATATACCCGATAATCTCTCTCTTTCACAAATCTATGGAGCGTACAGCTAGTTCTTATTAAAACAAAATTATATGTATTATTGGATACAAATATTTTACTTGATCTATACATGTTTAATTTCTGGTTTATTTCCATAGGCATATTGAAGTATTGCTTTAAGTGCAATTTAACTTTTCCTCCACATGCATGATTTCTCCTCTTGCATTTTTGCTGCTGTATGGTACATTCCATTCCTGATTTTTGGCAATTTCTTTCCTTGCAGGTGGATGCGGAGAAGATGTGCAAGATGCTTATACCCGTTCCTAGTGATCGGCCAAATTTACAGCCATGCTGTTTTTGTGCAAGAAATACAAATTCTTTTAAGATGCTCTCTAGTGAACCAGACAGCATCAAGGATGACATCAGCTTTTCTGATCTGACTGTAGTTTCCAGAGATGATGTAAGATTCCTGAGTAATCGAATTTATTTATTATACAGATCTTCTATGCTGCTCTATGTCTTTTTAATTAGTATTCCTTTATCATTCCCACAAATATATTTTTGATGCGAACTCTTTGTTTTTATTGTTTTCAATCTAAGCTAGCTCTTACTAGCTTAGAATTAAAGGATAAGTATTAGATTATATTATAGAAGGATCCAATTTAGTATGATGCCTTTTTAGTTGCCTGTGAAGTGTGCTTCTGCCAACAATTTGCAATATCTGATACCAAAATGATTCACTATGGTCCTTAAGGCCTCTCTCTTTGTCTCTCTCTCATATATATGCTTTTTTAAGTTCTAGTATTATTTCTGAATAAATAATACCCATTCAAAATTCAATTTTTGAGTTATTCAACTCTTCCCATCCAGTGATTAAGAAACTCAACTAGGGGTGTAAATGAGCCGAGCCGAGCTCGAACCTTGGCTCAATAGAATTTAGCTCGGCTCGAAACTCAACGAGTCTGAAAATTTAGGCTCAGGCTCGGCTCGGCTCGAGCTCAAGCTTGGTTCAAACTCGACTTAAGGCTCGAGTTCAACTTGAAAAATTTTAAGCTCGAGCTCGGCTCGAGGCCCGAGTATCCTAAAATAACATGATATCTATAAATGTATAAAAGCTCGATAAGGCTCGACAAGCTTTCGAGCTGAACATCATTTGGCTCGAGCTCAATTCGAGCCAAACCTTTTCGAACTTTTTTCGAGCCGAGCTCGAACAGGTCACGAGCCGGCTCGGCTCATTTACACCCCTACACTCAACTATGTTGGTATGCTAAGTCAGCCTTTTTGTATTATCTTATTAAAAATTCTGAATTTATAGATACTGATGCTAAATGAGTAACACTGGATGTGGAAGATTGGCGTGAGAGGATGAGAAACTAATGTTGAGATTTATCAAAAATAAATTCTACAGAGAATTTGCACTGGGTAAAATTATCAGTTCTATGGAAGGTGGCACTTGATCTTTCTTAAACAGAACTTCATAGATATGAACCAACTCATCCATCTAATTGGTTTTGGTTGTTCCATTGTGTCCTTCATGTGGGTATACTTTGAAGCCAGAATTTTTCTCAATGAACACTTTGATGGCCAGAACTGTTCTCAATGCTTTCGATGGCAGCTAATGCTATTTTTGGTATAACAGGAAGTTCCTGCTGCTTTTGTTTTTTTCAAGACTCGCTATAGTGCAGTGGTTGCCACACAGATGCTTCAATCATCAAACCCTATGTTGTGGGTGACTGAAATGGCTCCAGAACCTCATGATGTTTTATGGTCAAATCTCTCTATACCATACAAACAGCTTTGGCTCCGTAGAATAGCAACGCTATTGGCTGCTATAGTCTTCATGTTTTTGTTTCTTATTCCTGTGACATTTGTGCAAGGCTTGACTCAACTAGATAAGCTATCAAGAACATTCCCATTTCTGAGAGGAATTCTAAAAAAGTAAGCACTGTAATATTATGATGAATGATTCCTGTGCCTGTCATTTTTATTTATATTACAGTGTACTTTTGATGTTTATTATTTTTTATTCTTTTCATGGTTAAAGGATAAGAGATCACATATTTTATTTACCAAGTCAAAATATGAGGATTTTCAGGCAATTTTGATTTGTCAACTCAAAAAGTACAAACAAACTTTCAATGTTCTATGTCTGCATCATTTTCCAATTAGAGTATTCAGTTTTCTAAGTCATATCTATATGAATATAACACTGTATGATGTCAATGGCATATAGACTGCGGGTTTTTTTTTTATTAGTCTCTAATAGCTGCTTTAGTCATTTATTCTTGGAGCTCACTAGCAGTAGACTGGGGTCATTGGAGTACATTAGATATACGAATGTTGAACTTTGATATTACCGGTCCTGCCTATCAGTCCATGTTTTTTTTTTTGTATCCATAAATTCCTTTTGTTGTGCTGCCAGGTGAAATTTTCATTGGCATGGTTGAGCTATTAGCGAAAGTCATATTTGTTATATTTCTGCTAGTTTACGATCAAAATTTTCATTTCTAGCACCTGCTGTGAGCTTTTTTGTTTTTTTGATTTTGTTTTACATCTTTATAATGTTGTATTATTATTTTGAAGTAATTAATGAAATGAAAGGAACTATCTCTTTTTTTTTTTTTTAAATAAACTAAAATGAAAGACATTGTTAATGGCTCAATCTAGTGAATTTGTTGATCTATATCTAATAGACTACCATTTCTTCTGTTTCCTCTGAAATGTCAGCTGGAGAAGAAATGATAAAAAATAGGGAAAATTGTGGAAAACTGGAGTCTAAAATCTTTACATTTGCTTGCAAACTTATTTGTGCTTCTCTGCAGGGCCTTCATCAGCCTTGTGGTGACCGGTTACTTGCCAAGTGTCATCTTAATGCTGTTTCTGTACACTGTTCCACCCATGATGATGTTCTTTTCATCAGCAGAGGGGCATGTATCTCGTAGCGAAAGGAAAAGGAGTGCAGGCTTGAAAATCTTGTACTTCACAATATGGAATGTTTTCTTTGTCAATGTGTTCTCAGGTTCCGTTATAAGTCAACTGAATGTCTTCTCTAGCGTAAGGGACATACCTATGGAACTTGCCAAAGTAATACCCACTCAGGTGACACTTTTTGTGATTTTGAATAAAGTCATTTTAACGCAATCCTCTCATATAACTACGACCCTATTGAGGTGCTTGCATAATGTTCCATATCAGTTGAAAAAAATATTTTGATAGAGAGATTCTGCTAAGTATAAATAATGTTTATAATTTAAATGGTTCATAGGATTTCAAGTTGCCTATTTTCATCTTTTCATATAGTAGTTAATATTATATTGGTGGTTTTTTTTTTCTGAAATGATATTATATTGATGTTGAATATATAAATTTTGTGAAAACATTTGTCGGCATTTTTACAATTATAACATAAATTAAAAGGCTAGTGAAATAAACCTCTGGCATGAACGGGTATTGAAAGCCTCTAAAAATGTAGAGCTTTGATATTTTCTCTCTTTTAGCAAATTTAATTGGATTCTAAAAAAGCAGACCTTTGAAAGCCTCTAAAAAATATTATTGTGCCAAAAAATTTCATGATATTCTATTTTAATTATGGTTGTCAAATTTACAGGCTAGCTTCTTCATGACTTACGTTTTAACATCAGGTTGGGCAAGTCTGGCCTGTGAACTGATGCAACTATTTCCTCTTGGCTGCAACGTGATCAAAAAATTCATTCTCAGAATTGAAGAAGATTCATCTGATGACCTCATGACATTCCCATACCACACGGAAGTTCCCAGGGTCCTACTGTTTGCTCTTATTGGCTTCACCTGCGCAATCATGGCTCCCTTAATATTGCCCTTTTTGCTGGTTTACTTTTTCATGGCATTCCTTGTATATCGTAACCAGGTGACTCTCTTCTATTTCTGCTTTCTTCTCTAATTCAGATTGTGTGCATGCTTGAATTGATTGTTAATTTCATATGTTTGTTCCTCTGTGCAATTGAAGTCTGCTTTGAGAACTAATTGTATATTGCCTCTGATTTAGAGTTAGCAATTAATTTCAATCTTGCATATTGCAAAATATTTCTGTTTTTTTTTCTCTTCTTATCTTTAACTAGCTTTTATTTGATGTAATCATTTGATTCTAGTACCTATTATATGACTGTCATATAGATTTTGGGGATGGATCATATAGATTTTTGTCAGAGGGCATATATTTTATTTTCTTTCCCTCTCCTAGGTTCGGGGAAAGAGGGACGAGGGGCATGCTGGAGTTTATTCAATAATCTGTATTTCTTAGATTCAGTAGTAGTGTGATAGAAATGCATGTGAAGAAGGTTGACCTGTAATAGATTTATTCATTCCTGGCATGTTTTCTGATGTCCCATTTTATTAATCTTAGTTCTCCATTTAAGAACGACTTTCATGTTATCATTTCTGTTTTGCAGATCCTGAATGTATATATACCAAAATATGAAGGTGGTGGTCGTTTTTGGCCTATGGTTCACAACACGACAATCTTCTCATTGGTGTTGTCCCAAATTATAGCAATTGGTGTCTTTGGGATTAAACAATCACCAATTGCATCAAGTTTCACATTTCCACTGGTTATTTGCACGCTTCTATTTAATGAATATTGCAGACAGAGATTTTCTCCAGTTTTCAATAAGGATGCTGTACAGGTAGTCATTTAATTAGATTTTTCCTTCCAAGTTCTTTCTCTGTGTTAGTTTCTACCTCTCTGTCTTCATGCTTCCTAAGTTTGTTGTTGTTGAGTTGATCAGGTTCTTGTAGAGATGGATAGACGCGATGAACTGTCGGGGAGAATGAACGAGATCTACCAACAGTTACATTCAGCATATTGCCAGTTCCCAGTAAGCAATCATGAATTCTGTCAATCTGTACAGGCGCATGGTTCTGTTAATATTGAGGATCCAGGGCCCATGGATCCACAAGGCAATACGCGAGGTATGGTTTAAGTTTTCAACAAACGCATCGAATAATCACTCTCTTCGGGATCAAAAATACTAACTGGTTTTTCATGCCGTGTGCTTTCCAGGAAAGGAATCCAGTGAAGTAAGTGAACCATGGGCTGTAGTCAACTTTGGAAGAGAATAGCCTAGAATGAAATATTTTAGCTCATTTCATACTGTATATAACATTCATACTGCAGTATTCATACTGTATTCTACACGAAATGCACTTCCATGTATAACACCGTTCGGATGGTGCTTTAAGAGTCGTTCTGCAGGGCATGTAGCCTTTAAATAGGAAAATTCAAAGTTTAAATAGGTATAGGATTAAGATCTTTGATATTTTAGGTTTTCCTTTTCTTCAGAGGGTGGGGATTATTGTAAGTTATAAAATTACTGCGAAAGCAATTTTGATTTGCATTTTCCACTTGCGAACCAAACCACTGTTGTTGTTGCCGCCCGGCAGGGGTGAATTCATTTTTTAATTTTTTGTTTCTTGTAGATAACTGTACAGTCTGATCAATCACCAGCACTGGACAATCAAACCCAAACCCCCCAAACCCGTTCCCTTCGAAGGACTATCCATCGCTGAGAAGTAAAACAATTAAGAGGCAAACCCATTAACTTGCGTATTGAGAATTTAACTTATTGTCATTTCTTTCTTTCTTTCTTTCTTTTTTCTTTTTTCTTTTTTGAGAATTGCTTTTGTCATTTCTCATGTTTCTATCTTTATTCCCAATCTTCAAATATGAAGGAAAAACTCATTGCTGTATAAGACAGCCCATTCTGAAGTATATTCCTATGAAAGAACTTGGGAACTAAATATCTCTTTTTGTTAACGTCCTTTCAACCATTGAAACAATTACAATCATGACCAACGATGTTCAATGTACAAAAGTAATTAATTGAATTGGCTTTATTCCTCCACGTCTGCAACTAATGAAGCATCTTGACCCTCAGTATTGAAATTGTTTTCACTGTGTTTATCATTTTCTTTCGCTAAATGTCTCCACAGCCACAAAACTTGCAGTAGCCCGCCATTTGCAACATGCAAAAGAAAAACTCGTGTGCCTGCTGCAAAATATGTAGAAATGACCTTGACAAGAACAAAGAAGAAACTGATATTTGCAAGTGGTAGGTTGAATCCCTTATCCTGTTCAAGAGGCAAAACAAAAAAATCCAATCACATAAAACAGCACGGATACTTAGACATTCTTATAAGGAAACTGGGGAGCATATATCAAGAACACAAAAGCATAGCCTACCTCTGTTTGTACAATTTCCTGCAGTATCTCATCTAAATAGTTAGTCATCAAGTAGCCAATGAGGAGACCAACAGGAATCAACAACTCCTGGTTTCTCGAGATAGAAAATATAACATCTGATATAGAACTAAAAATGAACATCGATACTAGGGACCATTTCAATGCTGTCTGTCCAATAAACATTAATCGTTTTAGCACCACATCCCCTGCCTTCCTCCAAGGAAACTCTTTCACAGGGTCAGGTGTGGCTGCCCACAACATCTCCTTGGCTATATTCAACTGTATTTTGACCTTATTTCGGTCACCAAGCTCTGCGGTTGTCATTTTAATGAAGCGACTTGGAAAGAGTTGGGGATGCGCATGTATAACTGGCCATCTATTTAGCTGATGGGGTTGGTTTTTGAACATTTTAATCTGTACAAGCGCAAAAGGTAATGTGACGCACAAATTTTCGGGAGATACTACCATTTGATATGAGTAATCATTTATGAGATCAGCAATAGAATTTGAGTAACCTCCAAAGAAGGGGGGGGGGGGGACCTCCAAAGAAGGGGGCCTTATATTTACATACGACCAATTTGAGAAAACCTGCATGAGAACACATCCTTGTAGAGGCTTGGACATAGAAATTAGGGGGGGGGGGGGGGACCTTATATTTACATACGACCAATTTGAGAAAACTGCATGAGAACACACTCCTTGTAGAGGCTAGGACATAGAAAATTAGGTTCAGTGTAGAGATATAAATGTTAGGTAGTGTTGCTAAATGGTAATTGGCATAACTGAGCAGATTACAGGAATATCTAATGCAAATTTAATTTAAGATAGGCAAAACCAACAAACTTGAACGCAGATTACAGCAACAAAAACCACACAAATAGCATAACCTAAGAGCTAATTAGAAGTGATTACTACAAATGGAACTCTAGAATTGTAAATCGTAGACCTACCATGAAAGTTTAGTAGCTAATTACAGACACATGATCTCTCATTGGAATTCTCTGCTTCCAAGATCAGCTGAGCTAACAACTCTAAGCTCTCACATTTAAAATTAAATTAAATGAATCAGTATAATTGAAGCAGAAAGGCGAAGCGCACCTGAAATTTTGGAGTCGAAGAACATATTGACGACGCGGGAAGCGCCATTAATTAAACCGTTGGATTTCCTGTTGATTCAATTGCCCTTTCTCCTCATCGCCTTCTCTTACTCTTCTTTTGCTCTCTTTCCACCCCCTAGGGTTTAGCGGGTCCGTGACTGCGAGTGAGCATGTAGGTCACTTCAAATTGTTTGTGGGCCTATGATGATGGGCTTTCAGAAACCCAAAATGGCTTGGTCCACACTAGTAACCCACTTTATCGATATACCAAAATCTTTTCTTCAAAAATCAAAATAGTGTGTTAATTGCTTTTTTTTTTTTTTTTCCTTTTTTATTTTCTAAAAAAATTTCAATCATTATTGCTCAAATTTTCTATACAAAAGTGAAAAATAAAAATTATTAAAATTTCTTTGACATTTAAGATTTATGAACAAACGAAAGTAATTATTACGTTTAAATTATGAAATAGACACTCTTTACTTTCCTTTTCTAGATTTTATAAATTTTTATACGGTGCAATGGATTGATTTTTCAAAATCTATCAATTATTGATGGTAATTACTAATTACTTTAATTAAGCAATCAAAAAAGAACATGCATAACTGAGGTCAAGGAACTATCATAATCTCCTTATCTCACTTTAGATAATTAAATGAAAATTCCAGCTAAGGTGTCTATTAATTAGCCTCGACTCGGAAACACAGAATAATAAACAAAGTTTCACTTTTTTTTTTTTTTTGGGAGGGAAAAATGTTTCACAGTTAAACATTCCTTAATAGCCGTTATTATTAAACTAATTATACGAATTATAATAACAACAAGATGGTGAGGTCTAACAGTAAGACAAATCTACCAGATCGAATTTATCATGTTAGTGAGTGTCATTATCATCATATTAATAAAATAAAATAATTAATATTATCCCATTTTAATATTGGAAGGTATAATAAAATTAAAGAAGCGACGACACAAAGGGTCGTCGTTTGGCTGTTGTCAGGGCTAGGGTTGCTTCTTGCAATAACCAATAAGCCTTAATCACGGATACTTTTGGTGTTAATTATCGTCATTAAATTGCTTAGTGCGTCAATTTTGAAAATCTTGGTCTTTTGCTTAGGGCTTTTTCTGTTGTGTTTCTTCTCCATGAGGCATATTCCTTTGATACTTTACAGGAAGGGAAAAGAAAAAAAAAAAAAAAAAATTCTACATATCACTTATAATAATTAGCTTATCAATGTAGTGATTAATAAAAATACATTAAACAAACATTTGTTGTAGAAAAAAAGACTCTGCCATTAAAATATTTGCAAGTACAAAAACATAAAGTAATAATAAAAAAACATGAACTATATAATTTATAATATCAATTCAATGATTCATGAAAGAGTTACTCTCAGATGATTTTTCTTATTTCTTTCTTTCTTTCTTTCTTTCTTTCTTTCTTTTTCCAGGCACCCAGTTTCAAAATTTGTCAACTAATTCTTAACAAATCATGACCATATGGCTTACCAAACTATGCTTTGTCAACATATGTCATTTTGATCTTCTAAAGAAAGTAAAATCTCACAACTGTAAACAACTATGCTACTTGAAGTCAACCAAGGGATGATTCATCCTTATGATTTTTCACTTCCTCTTTTTTTTTATTAAACCTTCACTTTGACCTTTCCAATAAAAGCCTAACAAAATCTGTAATTAAAAGAAAATATATATTGATTCAGTCAGATTCTAATATTCTCAAGTTGGTTTGTATGTGTCATGTCTTCCCTTACATCCAGGAGTTGAGTCATATAAATGTTCTTATAAACAAATATGATATCTTCATTCAAGATATATGCATATGGAAAAAAAAAATTTTTGATTTGAGTCCTCTCTAGTCTTTTGCCTTGCTTATCAATGTACATTTATATAATAATAAGTAACAATGAAATGAGGCTAAATACATAAATATCGCACTCAATTTTGCGGGAAATCTATTATATGCTTCTAAATTTATGAATTTTTTTAATAATATCACATTTTTTTCATATTAGTAGCAACAATTTTAGGTTTTTAGCTTTTTTTTTTATATAAAGTATTAGTTTAATATATGCGGATAGTATAACTTTTACAATAATAAATTTTATAATTTTTAACTATTTAATACGTGTCTAATGCGTTCAATTTTATAAATTGAAATGTTCATGATGCGTCCCACACCGCCCGCGAAGTAAATCCTGGGCTAGTATATAAGGCTGGGTTCAGTCCTTCCTCTACGAGCTAGCTTTTAAGAGTACTTGCAAGATTCCCTTATCATTTGGTATCAAAGCTCTGACTCCATACGGTCGGTGTCTCATGGGGTTCGACAGAACGCCGACTGAGACAGTCGGGGGTGGGGATGATGCGTCTCATATCGCCCGCGGAGTGTCTCTTGTAAGAGTACTTGCAAGATTCCCTTATCAGTTCAATAAATACAATTTTATAAACTGAATAATATTCAATAAGTTGAGATAAAAGCTGAGAGTGATATAGAATTTTTCCCAAAAAAAAACACACAGGCCATAAAAATGTTCTAGAAAGTTAAAATAAAAGTCTAAAACCATAATTGCAATTGGGAAAATTATGTCCATGCATGTAATTAATTAACTTTAGAGCTGGAAGTCAAAACAATATCAGTGAACCACCAAGACCAAAATAATTTTTATTTCTGATATTGATTGAAACCAAATATGATTAAGGTTTATCTACCATAGATTACAAGCACATGAAATTATCTAGACTGCTTGATTTTTAATTTATCATAGTTAACTAATTAATCCTCATTAATCACGAAGTTAGGTATCCAGATGTAGGATATTCTATCCTTGCAGATTTCATTTCTTTAGCAACTTGTAAAATTTTTCTCATTTATTGAGTTTTCTTTTATTTGTAATTGTATTCGAATATAAATATATATATTTTGAATCAATTCGTGCACTTTCTTTAAACGAATCAATTACGCACTTCTTATTATCAATGTCAAATACTCAAAATTTATTTTTTTGAACGCACTAAAAAACTTCTTTTTTGATATAATTAATCCCATCGGATTATAAAATGTAAAAAAATTTTTTTTCCTCCCAGCAAAATGCACTAAAACTTTAATCCTTGAGTTTCTTAACTTGCATATATATAAATTTTGCCAAATATTTTAAATTTTAATTCATTGATTAAAAGATATATAAATTAACTGAAATCTCTTGATAAGAATGTTCAAATATACTGGGCGTGGTGTATCTTTCAAGTAGGTGGAAATTGATTAATTTTTTTGCTCATTTATTTGAAAACAACGCATGCAATGATAAATTTTATTCTCTTTGACACAACATTGAAAATCTAGCGTCTTATTCAGTCCAGACCGCTTGTTCTTGCGTGCTATTATTCCTCAAGGCCAGACTTATCAACTGTAGAAAATTGTTGAGTTTTTCCTGGACATGATTTATTAATAAATAAAATTTTATTTGTTGATAATAAAAACTATGGAAAATTACTAAGAGATCGATGCATGCATTTACTTTATATGTCATCATCACAAACCTCCTTGTATTTTTCTTTTTTGGTTATTTTCACCAAAATTCTTAAAAGGGAAAGAATTGTTAGGGTTTAATCCCTGACTATGCCATAAAAAACCTCAACCATTAAAGCAGCAATGAACCCAGTTATTGATCTTGTGACCATATAATACAATAGTTCAGGTTATGCAGAAAGGCTAGTATCAAACAAAGATGGTAATATATACACATGTATACAGGAAAAATTTACCGGCTCCGGTTGTATAGGTCTACTCATATATTAAATTAATTATAAACAGCGTTTTGATTTAAACAAGTGTATTTCTGACTATATACCGGAAAAAAAAAAAAAAGGATAAAAATAGTAATACTTAAAAAAAAAGAAAAATTTCTAAATGGCTTGATATATCGGATGATCCATACAATGGATGTAAGCAAAAAATTTAATTTCTATTTGCTCTTTATTTTCTTGAAGATAAGAATTGGAATAATATTAAGAACACGTGCTATGCAACTTTTATTGCCATTCCAATAAACACAAGCAAAAACAATTAATAAAAAAACTCATGTATGTACTAGCTAGGTATATGTATAAATACAAATTCATGTATGTACAGTACATACATTTTAATTTAAGAAAAATTAGAGGAAAATTATCAAAATATACATACTAAAACATGTCTTGAAATACATTAAATGAAAGCTAATTAACAATAATTCCCAAATAATTAAACTAGCCAGAAGTTTAACAATAGATATACATATATAATATTATAATTTCTGTCACTAGGGAAATTAAGAAACACATATATCACACCTGAACTTATTAATTAGGGTTTTCTCTAAGTTTCCAACACAAGCAATTCCCGTACAAACAAATCTATATATATTGATTTATAGCATCTAAATAATACTAATAATGTACACTGAAACATTATAGAGATCCGGGGTACCTCAGCTCTTCAAAAGCACAATTTGAAGCCATAGGAGGATAAACCAGAGAGCTCAACATTTCACCCATGTTCATGGTTGTTTCACCACAAGTTCCTGTAACTGATGATCTATTATTTAACATTTCATCAGCCAATAGAAACTCTAGCCCGTCCAGTCTCTGTGGATTGTTAAAAGCTGACATTTCCTCAACTCCTAATGGCAAATTGCCTTGTTCTTGCTGTAACATCTGAAACCCAGCTGCTCCATCTATATTGTATTCTACTGCTTGTTGTGCAAATTGAAAAGCATCGTTTATGGCATCCATTGAAGAAGAAGAAGACGAGGAAGAAACATTAATGAGAGGATTATCATAATTGAGTTGCTGATTATGAGTGTATGATGTTTCATTTTGGAATTGAGGATTATTAGTCGGATCGACCCGAATGAGTTGATGATCATCATTGGAAAATCTTCCTCCAAGTTTGATAAGTAGTTTTCTAATGGAGGCATGGTCATTAAAGCGTGGTTCTTGACTAGAGAAGGGTACAGGAGATAGAAAGGGAAGTTCTGGCCAATAATAAGGGTTTTGGTTATTGTTAATATTAGGTGAAAGCATTTGATTGCCATTTAATCTCTTCATTTCTTGCTTAATTAGGCCATGACTACCTTTTCGAGAGTGTTGCTCTTTCCTTTGCTTACCAAGAAGCTTCTTCTTCAACCTTGTGTTCCAGTAATTCTTTATGTCATTATCAGTCCTTCCTGGCAATTGTGCTGCAATTATAGACCACCTGCTTGTACAAACAAAGATGATTCATTACTACATATAATTTAATTAATTGAGTGTGCACTCTAGGTCAAAAAAAAAAAAAAAAACCTAACAAAGATGATTCATTACTACATATAATTAATTTAATTGGTGTTGCACTCTAGGTCAAAAAAAAAAAAAAACCTAACATACATCTAAATCCGAGTGATTTTGCAGGTCAAACTTGAGAGTTGATTAGGAAGTACATACATTCAATGACCAATTTGATTGAACAAATTTAAAATAAAAAGGTCAAAAAAAAAAAAAAAAACCTAACATACATAAAATCCGAGTGATTTGCAGGTCAAACTTGAGATTGATTAGGAGTACATACATCAAATGACCAATTTGATTGAACAAATTAAATAAAAGAGTACATAATTAACTAATTTAAAGAAATTACCTGCTCCCAATACTGATATAGAGGCTGCAAATGATGTTATCTTCTTCTTCAGAAAAGCCTCCATGCTTAATATTTGGGCGAAGATAGTTTAGCCATCTAAGGCGACAGCTCTTCCCACATCTTTTGAGGCCTGCAGATAATGATTATGAACATATGCATGAGAATTAGTACACATATATTTAGTTCTTTTTTCTCTTTTTTATCAATTAAAGGAAGAAAATATGAATAAAAGAAAGCTCTCCCTTTATATATAGATAATTAGAAATGATCAAGGAAAAGATATCTATATATATACCAATTTTTTGAGGCAAAGCAATCCAGTTGCCACCAGTTCCATGCTGCTCAATATAAGACTTGAGCTTAGCATCTTCTTCAGGTGACCATGGCCCTTTCTTCACGTTGGCTTTGTCGCAGCAAGGAGCCCTCCCCATACCTTATTATTAGGATACTGTTTCTCTTTCACTTCTTTGACTCTGAGCTTTGATATCTTAACCTTAGCTTCTTAGCTTATTCTGTCTCTCTTTCATGATTCTTTCTACTAAAAAGAAAGCAATTATATGAGAGAGAGAGAGAGAGAGAGAGAGAGAGAGAGAGAGAGGAGAGTATTATTTATATGAATATATTATTATTATAAAAGCTGAATAAACATGGCTCCTGAAACAGCCATAAGACTTTTAAAGGAGGGTATGGAATAAGGGGATTTTATTTGGGTAATATAAAATTGGAGAAATTGGAACGCCAGAAGAGAAGAGAAGAGAATAGGGTTTTTCTTCTTGTCTTTCTTACTTAGTCCAGAATCAATTTTATCTGTTCAGTCCATGTCCTTAATTTTCTTGGGACTCTGTCTAACAATAATCTTATGCATTCAGTCAGTGTGATGTACGTATAAAAATGCAACACGTGGTTAGAAAATTGCAACGTCATGAACAAAACAAAATTGTGTTAATGGATAAATTTGACTCTACATTTTCGAGATTATTCTTTTAACCCCTCAAACATTTTAAAATACTTATTATGATTTATATTTTCGCGATTTTATAATAACTATGATATTCGCAGTAATAAAATGTAAAAGAATAAAGTTTGGGTTGAATTCTCGCAAAAATAATTTTATATTTGTGAGATATATAGTTATTATTGAAATTCAAAAATATATTATCATAATTCAATCTTTGCAAAATTTAAAAGATCGCAGCAATAATCGGCTAAAGATTTATACATTCCCCAAATAAATTTGTGGAATGTCACTAAAATTCATTAACAATGTATAAATAAAAATCTAAAATTTTTTACCGACAAACAATTGAATTAGCAAGAATAAAGTGTGTCCTTCACACTAAATTTATCTGAAATCGTTAATATTTAAAGGACTTTTCTTGAATATTAATCCAATATTTAGACTGACTAATTTTTATAGGATTTTTACATGAATTTCATCCCAGTTTAAATAAGAAGATACATAGAAAAATAAATAATAATAAAGTTTTTATCATTTTAAGCTAATGTTATTAATTTTATTTACTAATACAGATAATTAAATTTATTAAAAATAAGATATGATAAACTGTAAATTTGTGAAAATTCCATAAAAATGAAATTAAAAAGAAAGAACAAACAAATATAAATAGTAAATAAATATTATTTAATTTTGTAGAAATTAATTAATATAAATTATAAACTTATTTATGGTTTATCGTAAAATAATTACTATATAAATATACAGAAAATAAAACAAATGGTCAAGGTGCATCGTATTTGCTGCGTAGTGTCACATCCAAAGGGTTGGATTTACTTGACCTCCTCGCTTACCTTCTTCCCGTTAGTGCAAAACAGTCATCGTTGCATTTCTTTCTGCAGCCAATAAGGAACCACTGCTCTTTATTATACAGACATGTCCAATTCATTAGTCTTAGCCAGCTTTAATTTTTCTTGTCTCTGGTCTTCACTTAATGATTTATTTTGATTATATTGCCTCAGTTAATTTAAATATTAAAACATACATCTGAATTGATTGATTATGATTAATTCACTTTAGCATATATCATATTAATTTTTAATTTTTAATTTTTAATTTCAGTAAAGAATATGATTAAATGGATATATTTTTTTTTTTTTTCAATTTGATTTGTATATATAAATTCACTGTAGTAAGTTTGGGTGGACCTACAAGTTTGAAAAACCCTCTCTTACGACGATGTGGATTCGTAGGACAGCTGATCCCAACTTTCATCCAGGCTATATGTATAATATCCTCAATGTCCCGTTTGACGTCAAAGTGTATATAGTGCATGTATGACTGAGCTGAATGGGAATATATTTTTTTAATTAAATATCCCTTCATCTCAATTTTAGTTTGATACAACTAATTTTACCATTTTAAAAATTTACAAACGTAAAAAGTGATTACAGCAAGAGACTCACAGAAATTTCTCGGAAAAAATTAAAAAGACCTTGAATTGAAGTGAAATTATGATAAATAATGAAGTAAAGATGATTTGAGATAGTTTAAACCATAATTTACAGCCACAGTAAAAAATGAAAATGAAGAAATGAACCCAACATTTTCTTGGTGAAAGCTGGTGCATTCATAAAGTGACCGCTTGTCTTGGTTATGAATAGGAGAAAATGACACATTAGGGAGTTAGGCAATGAGATGAAATGATTAAGCAGGTCTCCATGGAAAAGACAGTAGAAAATTAAACTCTTACATGTGGTTTACAACCCATGGAAGAAAGAAAGATAAAATGTTGGCTCTAAAGGAAAAATCTTGGAGAAGACCAGTCTTATATGAGGACAAATGATGCATATTGTTCCGTGCAATGAACAAGAAAAGATTATACGTGAACTGTATTGGCCGACTCTTTCATTATTAAGCATTTGAAATTCATTAGTCTGATTAATTTGAATTCGCGTTGTAAATTGAAGGAGTAAAGCGTGCTCTTTCGAGTGTTTAAAACGACTCCATATCCAAAATTCAAATTCGAAACACCTAGTTAAAAAAATAGAGATTCTGTCATTCCATTTCACCACTCGAGAACTTGAGTTAAATTAAATTGTTAAGTAAAAATTTATTTTTTTATTTTATTAATAATGATTAATTTTGTATCCTGATATTAATACAAGTTGTTTAGACTGTTCATAAAAATTGATATGTGATATCATTGAATTGATCTAAGAATAGCAAAGTTTGGATTTAATAATATACGTTGTGATATAATTGTAAATGAATTGAAAAAGATAGTTAATTAATTTAGAAATGACATCGTACATTTGGGAACACATATTTTTCCACATGGTTGGTGCATGGTTGTTTGATAGAGAAAATTGGCAATTGAGCACTCGTGACCATTTGACATGGACTGGATACGAATCCAATGAACTTATTGCACTACAATAAACATAATCCCAAGCTGCATAATTAAATTATTTATTTAAATTATAATCCAGGATTATTGGATTTTGACACATAATAAGGTAGTTTGACTGAAATTTTTGAAACCAAAAATTTATTGTATAATCTAATTAATAAGGAGCAATTTTTTATTATTTTTTATTTTTTTGGCAGTCACAGGAAATTAAAAGCTAATAGGATTTGTTCATCCATTTTAGTGTTTTGCTCTCTAACTCGCCATGTTTTTCTCAGACAACAATATCTTGCTGATGTTTGTTTATGGGATTTGGGTCAATACAATTCTAAATTAACTTACTGTACTTAATTTTCTAAGTCAATGACTCCACAGGAACTTTAATACAGTGTTTCAGAAATGATTGTTTTAAACACTCATACTTAGCTAAGAAAGCCTTTGATTGTCAGTTGATCGAGTAACCACATTATCTTTCCATTTGAAGCACAAGATTGTACTGTGTTTCAAATTGATATCAATCCAATGGAGAGCCCATGCCAGCGGCCAGCCCATTAAGACGACCAAACTTCTATATTGGGCTGTAAATATACGAAGACTTGGTGCAACTCCAGATCTCATTCTTACTTGGTACTTTTCGTGTACTTGAATATTGATTCCATTATGCATAAAGCAAGTCAAAATACACAACTCCCTTGTTTCATGAAAGTGAAGGGAAGTTGTTTTTTACATGCACAAATAATATTAGTTTACAACTCTTTATTAAAACATTCAAATTGAAAGTAAATTAAATCACACTTGGAATTAAATTAAGCCACGTGATTAAATCGCATTTGGTCACATGTGAAAATTAAAATAAATTAGGACATCACAATTGAAATTTAATTTAAGTTACATTTGATTAAGTCATACTTAGAATTAATACACTCTAATTTAAAAATTATATTTGATTCAATCACGTCACACTTGAAATTAAATTAAATTAAAACACCCAACTTGAAATTAAATTGATTATATACTATTTAATCATTGGAATTAAATTAAACTACACTTGAGATTAAATTATATTAGGACACCTACTTGAAATTAAATTAAATAAAACTTGTTCATATTTGGAATTAAATGAAATAAAGAACATTAATTGAAATTAAATTAAATTGTATTTATAATTAAATAAAATTAAAATATCTAATTGAAATTAAATAAAATCACATTTACACACGCTGAAAATTAAATTAAATAAAGATATTCAATTGAAATTAAATCAATTCGATCTAGTTCACTATGATATCAACATGTATTCAATTCTGCTTGGTTAATTAATGGGTGCGGCATGTTAATTAATTACATAATATGACATTAATTTAGAAAAAAAAAAAAAAGTGTGTGTGTATATATATATATAAAGATTAGGAAAAAAAATTGAATTTGTTTGTACAGAAAAAATAAATTGTGTTGCCTTTGATATGCTACACTACCCTGCTGGATAATCATGAGTTATGGGCAAGAATTTAAAATTAGAAGTATACATAGAAAACATTGATGAGAGGTACACATCATCCTTTATAAGATCAAATAAAATACACGTCATCCGATATATACAGTAAGAAGTTATGGGCAATAATTTTGTGCCTTTCCAATTGATGCACACGCTGTACCAATAGCATCCAAAACTGCATACATACGGCATCTTCTAAATCTCAGTGATCCATCCTTTCTTATCCTCAATAACACCCGTTTTAATCCCTTCAAGAATGGCGTAGAGCTTTTCAGCTACAGATCCATTTCTCATTTTGTATTCAACCCTGCACAAAATTTTATCAATTCAGTGAAATTACAAATTTATGATCAAAACCAAGCAGTGTAATTAGTTAATTCATTAGTGTACCTTGTACCCTGATATGTGATATTGCCCACCGGAGCGACACCTACTGCAGTTCCGGTGCAAAATACTTCATCGGCCACCTTCAATTCATCCACCTGAATAGCTCGTTCTTCCACCTGATAACCATTATCACGAGCGATTTCAATTATGCTTCTTCGAGTGACACCTTGTAGAATAGTCCCATTTGCAGCCGGAGTGGATATTACATTGCCCTGGAAAATCAAGATTCGTATGACAGTAATTATGTTCCAGGAAAAAAATCAAAAATAATAAATGAAAACTTTAATTTAATTTAGACTTTACCGGAATACCTTAACTAGAAAAATGTTACAAGAAGAAACTTCTTCTATGTATTTCTTATTCACCGAATCAAGGTACAACACATCAGAAAATCCTCTGCTTTTTGCTCTGGCTATTGCTTTCAGAACCTGTATATCATAAAAATGTTTTAGAAAACAAGAAAGTATTTAAAAGAATTGAAAGAAAATTCACTTACAGGCGCATAATTGGTGATGGACTTGACACCTCCAGCTCCTCCACGAGAGGCGCGATGAAACTCTTCCTCAATATATAGGTTTAAGGGCGCCAAGCCTTCCTGTACATATCGTAAGCAGCATTTATTAACTTTCTATTTAAAATCAAAAGAGAAGTTACAAGTTTTCTTTCAGTGAGAAAGGATAAAACCTTGAAATAATTGCCTACAGGAGAAGCATATACGAGGAATGTGTATTCAGGTGCAGGTGCCAAACCCAAAATAGGTCCACTTCCAATTAGCAAAGGTCTAATATATAAAGTTCCTTTCCCTGGAGGAGGAACCTTCGTATAATTTTGCATAAAGGTTTGTTATTAATTAAACTATGAAAAGCACTAGTAAGTGGTAACAAGCAAATGAATGTTTACAAGAAAATTATTTACCCAGCGCTTGTTAGCCACAGCAATTTGTTTAACTGCATCAACAAATTGATCAATGGAAGGACAAGGCATGCACATTCTATCAGCACCCATTTTCATTCGAATGGCATTTTGATCTGGACGAAATAAAAGTAAACGACCATCTTCTTTTCTATATGCTTTTGTGCCTTCATACAACCCCTGGATTCATTTCTTTTACAATTCAGTTATTCTCTCTTTCGGGAAAATAATTTCAATTTTGATAAGGAATGAATTTAGAGCTCGCCTGTCCATAATTCAAGACTCCTGCAGAAGGGCTTAATTCAAGATTTCCATAACTAGTAAGTTGTCCTGTTTCAAAACTTCCATCTTTAGAACATTTGACCATGTACATGTAATCAGTTGGGGTCATACCAAATCCAAGATTATCCCAATCCATATTAGCATACTCATCTTCGCCATCACTACTAAATGTAACAGCAACAGAAAGCCAAAAAGCATGAGAAAGCAAAAACAGGGGAGAAACAGAGGAGTTTTTTATTTTAGAAGGTGAAAAGTTGTTAGTTGTTACCAAGGAGGAGACAGTCTGGTCGCATGTGACGAGTAGCAAGCGTAAGATCCAAGCTGCAACCATGCAGGAAATTTTATGAGATCGATGATGACTAATTAATTAAGGAGCAATATTCTTTAATTTTGCGTCTAAAAGAAAATGAGACAATCCGTTTTTACATAATCACAAAAGGAAAATAACATAATCAAGATTAAAGATTAAAAAAATTAACCAACCTGAGATGAAGAACCAAAACGTAAGGATTGAACCAATCTGTATAGGCTTGAACTCCTTTGAATCATTGCTTCTGTTATTTTGTATATATTTGTTTGTTTATTTCTTGACTGCAACACAGAGAGTGATCGAAGCTAAAGCAGGGAAAGCTAGATGGAGATAATAAAAGAGGAGGAGGATTGAGGAAACCGATGAGCTGAAGACTCGCATAGAAGACAGGAGGAATAGGATTAAGGATTAAAAGGGGAGGACAGCGATGTTTTTGGGGGTTGAAAGAAAAACCAAGGTGAGGATTAGGAAGTGCCAAAAACTACTGAGAGAATATAACACGCAACACGATGCCATGTTGCACTTCAGCTGATTTGGATGATATTGCCACGTTTTATCTGATTTGGACGACTTTTGCCTCGTCAATTTTCTTTTTTTGAGTCAAATATGTCTAAATATAACCAAAAGAATTAACAATATTACCGAAACATCAGTTATATATATATATATATATATATATTTATCGGATTTGGACCCGACTTTTGCCTTCGTCAATTTTCTTTTTTGAGTTCAAAGATGTCTAATATATAACCAAAAGACATTACAATATTACTCGATAACATCAGTTATATATATATATATAAATAATATATTTGTACAAAAAAAAAAAAAAAAAAAAACCCACCCATGGGGTACTTGTTAGGGCGTGGGACCTCAGGATAATTTTTTCCGTACATAAAGCCTCTAATTGAATTCAATATCATTTGCTAAAGGTGACCGAATTTGTTCGGCTGGGATCAACTCACCTTCATAAAAGTTTAAGAATATTAATAAATATATACTCCGCAAGGAGTGATTTAAGTAGGAAAGCCCATTTAAATTCAGTAGAAGATGATCCTTCAAGAGCTTTGAACCGTGAAAGAAAGTTGTTATAAAGATGGATAATTACAAACTCCAAAACGAGATAAATTTTATATTTAAAAAGATTGTGCAAGTAGTTTAGGAAAGAAACCAAAAAATAAAATCTATTTTAAATTGTATAATTTTATTTTATTTTTTAGGTAAAATATTTTAAAATAAATATTTAATTCTAAATCCTTCAGTAGATAGGAGATCTAGTAAGAGGGTTTTTTTTTTTTTTTTTCAATACCTATTGCAGACTGGTAGTTGAACCGTGAAATAAAATATGCGTCACGTTTTAAATAACGTATTAAGAATTTTTTTAATTGACTTAAAAATATTATTGACATTTCCCTTTCTTTCTTTGTTAAAGAAATATTAAAAATAGTATTAAGGAGTATAATATTTCAATTCAAGAAGAAATAATAAAATAGAATGCGGTAGACGATCAACATTACACGTTCTGGATATGTACAAACATATATACACCTTATCCAAACCATTAGAGACGAGTATATTTTGGAAAAAAATCCTAAAACTGAACCCATCAAATTATTTTCAATTTTTTATTTCAGATTTCGGTTTTAGGATTTGTAAAACAATTATTTTACATTAGTAAAATCGAACTAAATTGAACCAAATTGATCGATTCGGTTTGTAACTTCGATGTTCAATATGTTTGGACATCCATACAAACCATGTGCTATCTTAAAAAATATATATATTATGTCATGTTCAGCAATACCATTTCATTTGGAATTTACATTTTGATTGGAGTTCTCTATTATTTATATTATTGAGCCATGTAGGTTTAGTATTTAAAATTTGAAAAAGCGGATTCTGAAATATCACGTTTTACAACAATGAATGTAAATATTAGTTAAATAATTGCTAAAAAAATTAATTTTATCGAATAGACAATATATTAATATGGTACTCTAATAAGTCATGCGTAGGGATTTCCACTAATTGGAAGAATATTTTTAAAATCACTTTCTTAAAGTGGATTAATGCATAATTTATGTTTAGTTGAGAACTTTTTTTTTTTTAAAGCAATTAAGAATAAAGTTTGATTCCCAAAGTAACGCGCATGAGAAAAACAATTGGAGTGCGAGCAATTACTATTTCCTCAGTTGATGATAAAAAGAGAATAAAATATATATTTTTTCTGAATAAAGATGAAACGAGAATCATTTGACATTGTTTAATTATGTGAAAATGATATTTTTAGAATCTGAAAACTTGAGAGCTACGTTACCAAAAACCAACAAATCGGTACATAATTGATGGTGGTAGAAAGGTTAGAGAATGAAAGAGACATGATAAAGAAGGGACAACTTAATTAATATTCCCAATTTTAGGTCGGAGAAATTTAATTTGGCTTTCTATTTTGCAAGTCCTACGTAAAACGACGTCTCGTGGTGTTCTCCACGAAGAATGCTGAATGCATTATCATTGGCCCATTTTCGAAAATAATGACACCACCATTGGCCCAGATATATGAGATGGGCCGAGGCAAGCTAGGCATCCCCTCTCTCACCAAAGATCGGTGTCGAGGTAAGTATTTTTTTTTTTCCAGGGGGAACGAGGGGGAGTGGATTTTTTTGCGAGGAATTTTCTTTTTTAATTTTGATATATTGTTGTTTTATTTATTAAAAAGAATCGATCATAAGTAACAACTCCAAGTTTGAACATAATTTTAATAATACTGTACGTAATTTTTTGATAGTAAATTTATTTGATTTTAATAATGGATTGCCTTGATAATTTTTATATTTGCATATACATATTTTTTTATTATATATTATTCGTTGTTCTCTTGCATTTTAATTTTTGTTATTCATAAACCTCTTGTTAATTTCACCATTTTTTTCTATTAGTTTTAAGTTGTATGGATTGATTTGAGCTAAGTCATAGCTGGAGTTTGTAGAGTTATTATTTAAAGTTAGATTTTCCTAAATTGTTAATCAAATTTGAATTTAACAACTAAATTTATAATTCTTATAATATTTTTCTTAATGTAGTATATAGTTTATAAGATTTGGTGAAATTCGGATTGGAACCATCGCCAGCAGCAGCTAAGCTGTGTTAATATGAAGCCAGAATAAATCTAAACTAATACTCCATAAAATCATCAATTGATATTATAAATACTTTACCTTATTTTTAGCTAAATTTTATTTTATTAATATTTTGAATATTCAATATTACAAATAATTAAATCCATTAGCTAGTTTGATATATTCAATTATTTATTTTTTTGAATTCTGAATTTGAATATTGGAGAAGGTAATAACTATTTTCTAAAATAAAATATAAAAATACATAGATAACTAAATATAATATTTATTTTAAATTCAACCGATATTATTTTCTTTAAAAATCTATTATTGTGACTAACACTCTAATACTTAATTCTTTTTGTGAATATCATCATGTTTAACATTAGTTTAGTCTTCTATACCATTATTATTCCTACAAAATTATTAAAAAAAATAATAATTAAGTAGCATATGTAGTTATATATAAAACAATTATTAGACCAATAAGAATATATATTTTGATAGCAAAATAAAAAATTATTCGTAGAAAAAATAAATAAATTCTTGATAGCAAAAAGCAATTAATTTAACTTTATTAATTGTGAGTATTAAAACTTCTATTTGTCAAAATGCTTCAAGATTAGATTAGGTGTTACATAAAAAATATTAATTATGATAATAAATAAATATGCCAAAAAAAAAAAAAAAAAAAAAAAAAAAAAAAAAAAAGTAAACGCAACAAAAAATTATTACCATGGTCTATATTGCCAAGACCTCTTTCTAATTTTTAGCTTTTTTCACTTGTATTGGACAATCTATAAAGGATACAGGGCTAAAAATATTAATTTTACTTCTAATTGCATATATAAATTGAAGCCCACACAATTGTTAATAAATATTTTAATTGCTTCTTCCTTTTTATCTAACTCATATCATATATCCGCTAATTGTTAATTATTTGTAAAATATTTTATCAATAATCTATCATTTGGTAATTTCAAAAAAAAAAAAAAAAAAAAGTAAACGCAACAAAAACATTATTACCATGGTCTATATTGCCAGACCTCTTCTAATTTAGCTTTCTTTCACTTGTATTGGACATTATAAAGGATACAGGCTAAAAATATTAATTTTACTCTAATTGCAATATAAATTGAAGCCCACACAATTGTAATAAATATTTTAATTGCTTTCTCTTTTATCCTAACTCATATCATATATCCGCTAATTGTTATTATTTGTATATTTATCAAATCAATCTATCATTTGGTATTTCAATTATAATTCAGTTCTTTTCGAATCTCACAATAAGTCAAAGTCAAATAGAAAAATTAATAACCAATCAAAATTAAATTATTTTAGCAGGATAATTTTCTATTTAGAATTAAATTAAATTTCCTAATAGAATTTAAATTCATATAAGAAATTCAACATAACCGATCAAAATTAAACTACATTTATTTTTCAACCCAAAAAAAAAAAAAAATTTCAATGATATTTTTATCGATCCATAAATTTAGCAATGTTTAAGAAATTCAATATTCCCGATTTGTATTTTTATATATATACACCGTATAGATAAACATGCATGTTTCTTTTTAGATCATAATATTTAAATATTTAAAATAAATTAATTTTTTAGTAAGAAAATTCATACTATTAAACTTCCTCAACAATATATCAATAAGTTTCATCAACATACTTACCAATAGAATAGAAAATGACAACCTAACCTATTTATTTTCATTGAAATTAATAATATTATTAATAATTTTGACTGAAAGGGAAGCAAAGCAACCTATTTGTTTTCCTACATATTGATGATCAATTATATTTAAATGAAACAAGCTATCTCTATTCTATCTCAACAGTCCAACCCTTCTTATCTTCAATCACAGCTGTCTGGATTCCTACAAGAGTTGAGTACAGCTTTTGCGACGTAGAGCCGCCGCCCGTTTTGTATTCAATTCTGCAATTATCATAACACAGATAAATAGTTTTATAATTGTTCTCATGAAAATTACTATGAAGTCTTACCTTTTATTTTGGTATGTAATACTACCAACAGGAGCAACCACTACAGCAGTTCCTGTGCAAAATACTTCATCGGCATTCACTAGTTCATCCACCGGAATAACACGTTCTTCGACCTGAAAATATACAGGTGCGAAGCCAGGAATATAAATGAAAAGATATTTAATTGGTGAAGACAAATGGTTTTTGAATAGGTAAAATATGAAAAATACTATCACCTTATAGCCTTGATCTTGAGCAATTTCTATAATGCTTTTACGGGTGACCCCAGGAAGAATAGTACCATTTGTTGCAGGAGTTGAAATAACATTACCCTAACAAGATTCAAAATAAATACTATTAAGTAAAAAAATTAATTAATGACTATATAAAAGAAAGAAAAAAGTTTAATTAAATAAGCAAATACCTTGACGATGAAAATATTACAAGAAGAGACTTCCTCTAAATATTTCTTTTCAACGGAATCAAGATACAGTACATCAGAAAACCCTCTGTTCTTCGCTCTTGTAATTGCTTTCAGAACCTATTTTTACAAATTCAAATAAAAAGATTAGTTACTACGATCCGATCACAAGAAATATAAAATCTTGAGAAATTAATAAAAATCACCGGAGCATAGTTGCTAATCGCTTTAACGCCTCCAGCTCCACCGCGAGAAGCGCGGTGGTATTCATCGTCAACGTATAAATTCAAAGGCGCAAAGCCTCCCTTAAAGTAGTTTCCAACGGGCGAAGCATAAACAAGGAATGTGTATTCAGGTGAAGGTGCTACACCCAGTACGGGACCAGTCCCCATAAGCAATGGCCTAATATACAAAGTCCCTTTTCCTGGAGGAGGAACCTACTTACATATATACATAAAAAATAACAAATAAAGATTTTTTTTTATTAAAAAAAAATATAGAACTTGAAGATTTAATTAGTTAATTACCCAACGCTTGTTAGCAATTGCAGTTTGTTTGACAGCATTAACAAATTGATCAATTGAAGGAGAAGGCATGCACATTCTCTCAGCTCCAATATTCATGCGAATGGCATTTAGATCGGGGCGGAATAAGAGAAGGCCTCCATTTTCTTTTCTATATGCTTTTGTTCCTTCGAAGAGTCCCTGAAACAGAAATTAATTAATTAATCAGTAGAATCTCTCAACGTTTTGGGAATGTTTAGTAATTAATTAATTACTTGCCTGGCCATAATTTAAGATTCCTGCAGAAGGGCTCAATGGAATGTTTTCATAACGACTAAGGTTTCCTTGTTCAAAATTCCCCTCTTTAGAAGATTTCATTATATACATGAAATCAGTTGATAAGAGACCAAATCCAAGATTATCCCAGTCCAAATCAGCATATTCGTCATCACTGAACCGAATTTGACAAAAAAAAAAAAAAGTTTTTAAAAAGCTGCATGGACTGCATATCTAAATAATTACTAAATCAAACCTGCAAGTAGATGGTTGGTACGCTTGTTGCAGAGAAGATGCAGCTCGAAATGTAAAGTAAGCTCCAAACTGGAAATTAATATACAGAGCACCTTAATTGAGTATATCATTTTAAGTTCATTGCCGAAGAGAAAACGACGAAGTAAGAAATAATTAACCTTTGATTGAATATTAAAACCAAGTCGGAAAGATTGAATCAGACTGCGAATGCCAGAACTTGAAAGAATCATGGTCGCTTCTTTAAGTATAGGCTGAAACAGAATATCTTGAAATTAAAACAGAGGATTGATGGTTGTAATAGAAGAGAGTATAAAGGGTTGATTTTTAATTTTCCATTTTGCTTGGAGACGAAGAGAATTTGTATGGAAGAGCATTGCAGGACAGAAAAAAGGAAAGTACCGGAAGAAGAATGGAGCAATTGAATACGGAACTAACAAGATATATAGTTAGATACTTGTGTACTTGTAATGGATTCTTCTATTTGGAAATGGATAGGAGAGAGTTAGGTCATAATAATTCCATGATAGCTAGGGCTTCTTGTCGTTTATCTTACTATGACGAGCGTTAGATTGCATTTGATTTAGCCATTGCGGTCAGTTATTGATGGCTGGAAATATTGCATTGGGAGGCTAACAGTTGAAGAGACAAATACTGAGGATGAGTCGTTATGCACGTTCTTATAACAGCTCGTCCTGTTTTCTTTATTATAAGAATGTTTTTATATTTTCCTTTCAATTCAAAATATTGGTCGACTTAATAACTGAAATGTTTTAAATTAGATTTAATCTTTTTGGTAAGAAGGAAATTGGTTATACTTAAATCTCTAAAATTCTGACAATCATTTGTAGAAAATATGAATAAATTTATTCTTTGAACTTTGTTTTGAGATATAAACTTTAATAAAAATTATCAATTATCGTACATTGATTGAAATAGTAAGCATCTCAATCCTCATAGTTCACAAATTCGATTCCCAAGATTTATAATTAATTAATTATTATATGAATATACACACGCGGAGCCCTGTATAAGATAAGGGACTGACAGAAAGGGAGTTGGTATTAAAGAACCAATTATTGGAGCTCGAGTAAGATAAGATAGATAGAAACGTCTCTGTCCGAGAAAAGAAGATTTTCATATTTTTAGGAGTATTGCTCAAAACTTTTATTTGGGTCCAAATACAGAATGCCACTTTCTATTTTTGACTATTAGTTTAGCAGAAGCAACATCCCACGAGGATTAGTTGTTCCATTTCGGCATTTTCATGTCTACCTGGAATCTCTATCTCAAACACACGACATAATACATGTTCTTTCTTGTAAGTTCACTTTCTTTTTACGGCGTAAGAAATGTTTCTATGTTACACGAAAAGGCTTGAAGAATTGAAAAACTTCAAAAATCTCGCGTTCTCTATTTTTTTTTCATGGAAATATTAATCAACCAATTCACTTAAATTGGCTTACTCCACTTTAATCTTATTGTAATATAGATATGTGGGTGTAAAAAAATAAAAAAATAAAAAAAATTGCAACCTCAACTTGCAGGAATTACTACTAAGATGCGTAAGGAATTCTGGCAGCCCATATTTGGTGTTCTGACCAGAAATCTATATTTGGAATTGGAATCTTAGAATTGGAGAAAACGATTTTCACTCTCCAAAAGGGACATCGATTACATGACGCTTCACTATAATTAATTATAATGGCAAATTAGGTTTCTGTCGTCCAAAGACTTTGGGAAATTCGGCCAGGCCCGATTGGTTTATCAATCTCTTTTAAGGTTTGGAAATTGATTTGACAAAGGCCGTGTTGTAGGCCTTTCGGACCATTTCACACTCATGTCTGAATCGCGTCTCCATCTTGCAAGTGGATGCAGTATTAGAAAGAGAGAACACTAATAATAGCTTGATCCCGTGGTTGAAACTTATTAGACAATCGTGGGATCGAGTCCTGGAGCCGGCCACTTTAAGAACCATATTAATCGATAGACAAGGCAGTGCGTATGAAATCAAGAAAAATTGGCAATTATCACAAACTATAAAGAAATGAAATTACCTAGTGACCTCTCTTCCTATTTCAAAACCATATTCCAACCCATTTTATCATCTGTGAGGCCCATCTGCATATTAGTAAGTTCAGAAGAGAGCTTCTGGGATACGGTACCAAGTCCACCATTCTTGTAGGACAACCTGCAACCAATCCCCAAACAAAAGAAAAACGAAGTATCAATTAAAAAAGTGTATCGTAGTATAGCCAAATTTATATCATGTAAATCTTTTACAATGACCGAATATCTTGCAAATTTCTAGGCATGTCGGTTAGGTTAGTTGGTTAAATTTTAATCCTGGTAAGCTTTACGAGATATTGAGCTCCTAATCCTGATACTATTCATTGAGGCAAAAATAAGAACTTTACCTTTTACCCTGGTAAGTTATGCTGCCGACGGGCAATAAACCAACTGCAGTTCCCGTGCAAAAAACTTCATCAGCATTAAACAATTCCTCAACTGAGACGCGTCCCTCCTCGACCTGTCCAGCAATAAAAATGACCTCTTCATTCTTTGGAATCCTCAAAATTCCTATCTGTTTTATGAAATGCACGTTTTTACAGCAGTTTGCTTAAGAAAAGGGGCTACTGGAGGGATTGCCATTAAGATAGAAAATATCAAGAAAAGACATGATACTTGACCACTTTATCTACTGTGCTCTTGTCAGTGTGACATCTAAGTGTTTCCCGGAAGAAGACAGGCACTATCGATTCCTTCAAAAGCACATCATTTCACTAAGAAAAAGAATATATGGAGAACAATCTCACTTTCCAATAATACGGGACAGCAAGCACAAGAATATCCTCTACGCATGAAGAAGTAAAAGTTGAAGAATCTCAACGAAAGCCCCCATTTAGATACAAGAAAGACGAATAAGCACATTCTTCAAAATCAACTATTTAAGGAACAATGCAATGCAGAGTAATCAACTTAAAATTCAGTGAAATCCATAATAATATTGAGAAAGTGCCCAGTATCCTAGGTGCATGATGCAACAGCTCGCCTTTGCAACAAAAGACATGCAAAACTCCTCTAGGACTAATTCGAGAAAGCAGAAGTGCCAAAAAAAGAATTATTTGGCATATTCACTGAGTCATCAATATATTTCAAATAGAAACAAGTAAATGGTATTCAAAAAATATCCAGCCGCATGTATCAGGGATTTTAAAATAATTTTCACCTAGTCCTTATGGAATGCTGGCTCAGAAGACATACCTGGAACCTTAGGTTGCGAGCAATATCAATAACACTTTCCCTTGTAATGCCTGGCAAAATTGTCCCCCTCAGTGCTGGAGTACAAATTGTTTTATCCTGGGTGTTCATGATCAATGAAAGACGAAAATCAAGAGAAAAGGAAAAGATGAAACTGTAGCCAACTGGAGGATATGTGGCAAATGAATACAAGACTTCAAGTTCACACCAGAACACAATGCAGCAAGTTTTTTCTGCTTGAAAATATTTATAAGCAGAACATGGGGCACAATTTCTTTCATAATAAGGGGCAATAAATTCAATCATGAGATGTTATTACATTAACAGAATGCGTTTCAGGTTGATGTTGAATGAAATAGTTTAAAAAGAGCATATCATCAACAAATTCTAATTGAGTGTTTTATTGCCGAAGATATGAAACTTTAAGAAGTAAGCATATAACAGTATCAATTCACAAAATCCGTTTTTTGACATGAGTTACAATTGCAAATTCGAGAGAATGACAAATGGCATCAAGGACATTACACTTAGAAGCTAACCAGGATTTGATTTGAAAACATACTTTGGATATGTGTTCACATACTAAATATAGAACTCTGTATGAAGCAATGGACTGGAAAAAAAAGAATTTAAGGTTAATTTGTGAAGAGATATTAACAGATTGTTGTGATTAAGGATTTTATCATTCAGAAACATAAAACATGTAATGAAGGATATAGATCTTAACGAAAAGTATCAAAATCAGCTTCATGACAAGATCTTTACAGGCTCCTTGGTTTTCTTTAATAAAAGAAAAAAAACAGAAACAAAAACTTTAGGCATGGACATCATCACGTTAACTGTATTCTTTCAAGTAACGCAAATAGCTTCATAACAGGGCAATTTTTTCATCTCTCCCTCGTTATTATTCAATTTTGACATTGCAACTATGTCATCCCATAGTTCTGTTACTTAATGATAAGAAATATAAGCATACCTTCACAACAAAAATGTTAGCAGCAGAAACTTCTTCCAAATATTTGTTGTGAACAGCATCAAGATACAGAACACCATGAAAACCATTTGCTTTAGCTGCAGCTTGTGCCTTCACAATCTACAAATGAAATTGTTATAATTTATACCATTTCAGTGACACTGAAAAGGACATTTCCTATTCTTAAATTAAGTTCTAAAGACTGGAGTTTTTTGACTGATAAACTCAAAAGCACATTGAATAAAGATTGCAATAGCCAACTCCAATTCCTAAAATGAGAAGACTGATTACCAAGTATTCTGGCACTTGGTATCATAATTATCTTACCATAGCATAGTTTCCTATAGCTTTTATGCTTCCAACTCCACCAGGAACTGCACGATGGGCTTCCTTTTCAACCACCAGGTTAATTGGTTCTACACCACTCTGTCAATATTAAATGAGAAAACATGAATACATTGCCAACAATCACAATTATAACCTACAAAAAACATTCATCTAAAGAAAAAGAATGGTAAATAGAGGGGAAAACAACATATGATGACAAGTTCATAATAGGTTGATTACATATTGCAATGGTACAAAGGTTTAGAATTAAATCTCCATGATGAGCATAAAAAGCAACAAAATGAAACAACATACCTCAAAATAATTCCTTACTGGAGTAACATAAATCAAAAAGGTGAACTCAGGAGAGGGTGTAAGAATAAGAACAGGTCCACTGCCTATAAGTAGGGGTCGAATGTGTAAGAAGCCTTTATTTGGAGGGGGGATCTGCATAATGGAATCGAGCTACATGACTAATAGATCATAACATCTTAACGATACAATGAATACATTAAGCAAACATTTTCCTTTCTTAAGAACCAAAATTACCCATCGTCTATTAGCTGAAACAGTAACTTTAACCGCTTCCAAAAACTGATCAAAAGTTGGTGCAGGCATGCACATCCTGTCTGCTCCCATTGTCATTCGCAATGCATTTGCCTCAGGACGGAATAATAATATAGATCCGTCATCTTTCTTGTATGCTTTCATATTTTCAATTATTCCCTATAACAAAAGCAAACACTGAACAGTAGTTAAGGGACTGGGATAATAGAGTAAAGACTATGGGACGTATGAGAAATAACAAAAGACCTACCAAAAATTTGCATAAGAACAAAGTAATTTAACTCTAACCTGTCCATAGTTCAAGACAGAAGAGAATGGATTCAATTCAATCTCCCCAAAAGTCTTTAACTCACCATCTGAAAACTTGTCGCCTCCGCAACATTTCATTACAAACATATAGTCAGTGGGCACATGATCGAATCCAAGGTTGTCCCAGCTAAGTGAACTAACATCATTGCCCAATTCAGATGTTTTGCTGATGTTTTAAAGAAAAGTTTGTCACAATCACAATTCTTTTAATAGTTAATTAACTAATCTTTAAGCAAATCACAACAACTGCAAATTAGATGCAACAGTAGACATCATTATTGAATACATCCTCTTCTTTAATAAAAAAAAAATCGTAAAACCGGAGAAAACATAAACAATTAATTGAAAAATAACAGACCTTTCATGAGAAAGATAAATAAAAAATAAAAAATTAATTAAAAAAAGAACGGAATATATTTAACCTTTGAGTGTCTGATGGAGTCACTTTTAGCGTTGTAGCAAAAGTTGTTATACGAGTGATCATGCCTGGACAGGGCGGGGAGAAACGGAGCTGATCATAACGCTGCAGCAAGCATCAAATTGAAATCGTAGGGATCGATTAATTGTCTGAGTTAGTTAAATATAATGGCAATTTTAACGATTTATTATCTTTCAGATGGAGAAGAAGTGCCTTTAGTGATGAAGAGAAATGAAGAAGAGGACTTCTGATGAGGCAGAGATGATTGTGATGAGTTATCGATGAGAGTTTCGCCATGTATGAAAAGCTCTTAAATTTAAAAGATCGAACAACAGATCTATGCTTTTCGGATTCTCGCTCGAGTTTGACGGTAGCTGGCTTTGTATATAGAGTCGAAGAAGTGAAAATGATACGGTGACGACGGGCCAGATTATTTCCTATAGGCTCTTATATTTTGGATAATATGAGTTAATTAGCGCGCATTGCTCAAATCAATGAAATTCTGATATGCGACGTGTCGCTACTTAAAAAAAACTGATCTGTCATTTACTCGCTTAGGTTAGAAGTAGCGTCGTCGCAACTCGCTGCTAATCTTAAACCAATTGTTCTGTCGGTGCCGTATCGATTCATAGGAATTGCTTTTTACTATTTTCATAAAATTCTCCTAAAATGGAAGCAAAGGGGAATTTTCCTTGAAATTGCAGAAAAAATCTTCATCAAAACAAATTACAAACAGCAATCAATGGACTATCATCTTTGTTTATTTGATAGATACATACATGAAGAACAGTGACGAAATCAAAGAATAGTACAGGAGGAAGACTTTTGAGCAGCATCGTCGTTGGGATTATTAGGATCAACGCCAGGCCATCCATTGCAAAGACAGTGTTGGCCTTGCGGGATGCGCTTATAAACAGAGCGCACATGCCTACCGCAACCACACCAGGTCGTTTTGCCGCAACTCGAGCATTTCACCTCGTAGCACATGGTTGTCGATTGCTTGATTTGGAACTGAAACTGAAGAAATTATTCGTGGTAAGACAAGCTACCGTAAATTTGTAAAGCACACAATAGATGATATAAACTATGGGTAAAGCTCTCGCTTGACTGTGCCGCCCAATGGTTGCTTGATGGCGGAGAGATCGATTGGTTTGGATTCTGTCTGGTAACAGCCAGGGGATCTCAACAAAGTTTCTTAGCTGTTTCTTAGAGGCAAATCGCCCTGACCTGAACAAAAGGAAATTAATATTTCTTGGCTGGTTTTGGACTCGTAGGTCTAGTCCAAATTGGGTTTGGGCTCGAAAAAGATTGTAAAAGGCCAGTATTTAAATTGGGTAGGTCGAGCGGGCCGGATGGGTACCCAGACCCATAAACAGGTACTTCTCAGATAAGAATGCACAAAAAATTTTATTTTTATAAGAAACTCCCTTATCAAAAAGGTAGCTTTCCTACTCGTACCTGAGAGGGCAAGGAGAGAAAGGTTGGCGTATGGAGGGGAGGGAAATTTTATGTTGTTTTGCTGAGACACATGGAGGATAATTTTGTAATCAAATAATAGTTCTTTTTTTAAACTAAAATTATATATTAATTTAATACCCTTTTTCTTGTGCTGTAAAGCCACAATACACGTGCATGTCTCCACTCAAAGATAGATAGGGCATCTTAACACACCAATTTGATCCAATACTTCTCTCCCCATTATTATTTTACTGAAATTGGCCCCTCATGCCCATGTCCAACACACACTTCATCTTTCACCTGTTGTAAGCACCCAAACCCTACTCATGTTTGATGTTTCCCATCCAATTTACATTCAAGACATGAGTAACCATTGTCAGGAAATGAGTGCCATTTGGTTTCAGAATCCAAACTCGTAATAATCTTTACAAGTAAAGTCCACTTAAGACTGTAGTCCACTCCTCAATCCAACCGTGCCTGTCGATTTCAAAACTATTTATGATCATACACATATTTTTTTTTTTTTCCTTTAATTTACCATAAAGGAGATGGCATATGTCCATAGTATATGTATACAGGTCAGTTACATTATCTATATGGATATGTGTCAATGTGGAGAAAGAGATCCGAGTCAGAGTATTTAAAGGGTAGCCATGATGCTCCCATTTGAAAGTGAAGTCCCACAAAAAAATAGTGTGGAAGATTGAAGACAATCTAGAGTGGGGTAAGCTAAGGTTATGCTTTTGGAAAAGTCGGTGCAATGCTGATGCTTTCACCTCCTGGAAATCTAGGATGATTATGTTACTCTGACTAGACTTTTCTTGTCCCACTTCAACTCTTTTTTTTTTATATTTATTATTATATTCTCTATACCCTCTGTATATCTCAAAGTCATCATACAACTTAGACATGTCATATCATTACTCTACTCATATATGTTTAAGAAACTAATTAAGTATGTATTAAGCACAAGTATTAATTAAAAAAATAAGTTAATGATGGTCAAGAGTGTGTAGCTAGGTAGAGCTTTTTTTCTTCTTTTACATGCATCTCGTTTGTTTTGTATATATATTTTCTTTAAGTAACAGCGATTTGTGCTTCAAGATTAGACAAGTTCCGTAACCATATTGCAAATGGGTTTGTTCACACAATCTCTCTAATTTATTTTATAATAATATAGTTACCTTTTCCACTGTTTATGACCTTTTTTAAATAAAATAAAGAACTAACTAGATATGGAAATGTTTCTTTTTTCACACCATTAGTTTACCATTTTCGTAATATAACACTTTTCTTTTCTAAAATATTTATTTATCATATATTATATGAACAATAGATAATGTTCAAGCTTAAGTAAGTGATGTAATTCAAACTTAAAATCATTAATTAACCTCAAGTAATAATTAAAGAAAATACTTCAAATCACTTGATATATATAATTCTATCAATTACTCCATTGAAGAATATTTATTAGATTGGATTGGTTCTTTTAATTTGAAGGAGATTCAATCTGATTATTTATCTAGATTGAATATGAATTTACTTATAAATTAATCCTATAAGATTTTTTTTTTTCCGAAAAAGTTATTAAAATGAAGATAAAGCAGACAAATTTGCATACAAATTATAAACATAAATCATGATGAACAAAGTATCGGTTGGGGTTCAACCTCCATAAGAATAAATACATAAATTTGATTTTCGAAAAGCGCATTTATGAGAGTCAAAGTCTTTATATTTTAGAGGCAGAAAGAGACTATACCTCCTAATTAGTACTTACATTGGAGACGAATGGGACTCTCTAGCGTTATCAAACAGTATTATTGGCTGATATTGGTTCTTTTAATTTGAGGAGATTTCAAACTCTGATTTTTATTTGTTCGTAGATTGATGTGAATTCATGTAAGTCTGGGACTTATATATTATAGAAGACTCTCAATATCCACATACTCACGAAAGAATTTTTCTTATTAATGTGGTGTTCCGAAAAAAGTTATTAAATGAAAGAGATTAAAGTCACAGCAGTTACAATTGGTACTGCCGAATGAACATATATAATACCAAGTTAGTTCAATTATATACACTAGCAATTGAAACACAAGCCCAGGTCATGGTGTGTTGATATAGAGGGCGTTCAAACCTCCATAAAAGAATAAATCAACCTAGAATTCTGGGTGCACATTTTCGCGAAAAAAAGCCGGCGATTACATGTATGCCGAAGTCAGAGTTCGTTGTTGAAACATATCACTGTTGAGGTGGACCAGGGAACTTAGACAATGCACCTATACGCTCCCGTAAAAAATGTGATGATATATATATCTTGATGTTCTTTATGTATTAAGCTGTATAGGTTAGGATTCAATTTATATGGTGTAATGAGGGTTCACTATACTTCTATGAATTTTTGCGAATTTTCCAATTCCCACATAAATCTCCTCGAATTCTAACTGCATCTTCTTATACAATTAATATGAATTTTTGATTTTCCAATTCACATAATCTAATTCTACATGCATTTCTTATAAATTATTAATTTTACTATTAACAAAATATTATATATCTGGGTGATGACTTGTATGCAATGTGTATAGATATGAATCGATGGCAATGATAATGCTTAAAGTGGAGTGAGTGATAGCGTAGATTACAATCAAGAAACCAAAATTGTAGTAGAAATGCAGACAAAAATGGTGGCTTTGGCGTACCTTGACATGGACGGTTGGTAGGGGTGAGCAAAAAGCCAAACAAAGGGCACAATCCCACATTCTGACTGGTGGGTTAGCCTTAAAGCCCGGAACACATGTGAAACCTTATCTCCATCACCACCATTTCTACTACTCAACTAGTAATAGTAATAGCATAACCCTTTAAATTGTTCAATATACTCTATCATTGCGCAACTACATTCCACAATCATCATTGCACACATATCCTTAAGAATCGAATGCTCCATCATGCCAAATCATTTGTAGGGTCTACCTGTCTATCATTTGCCACCCCTTCCCACTTGTCCATACACGACACGCTGGCGTCCCACTTGTCAAGAATAATTGGCTTTATTTTCAATACTAAATTAATAAGTGTAATTATCCCACATCTGATGTGTTGCTTTGAATTTCTATCAACTGGTGCTAGAAACTTGTCAATGAAGAGTTGGATAATTCTATTTAATGCTTGCTTAACCACTTTTCATGACCTAATCATTTATAAATTACTTTTAGGTTAAGTCCATGTCTGCACACTTCTTTCTTTTTTTTTTTTTTTTTTTTTTTTTTTTTTTTTTCCTTTTTTTTTTTTTTTTTTTTTTTTTTTCCTTTTTGCTGTTTTAACAAAAAGAGAATGTATTGATTTTAAAAAATATGGAATGGTTAAATGTCTCATCAGCAACAGATGACCCACACAAGAAATGCAATGAACTAACAGATTCGTCGGTGGATTACTCGTACTATTTCGGGTATGATTTCCCATCACTTGATTACACAACAAAAAGATGATGCTTCCTTTCAGAATTCAAGTTTAAGCGTTGATGGCTACCCATTACAATAACCAATGACCCCCTCTATAATAGGAGTAAGAATAGGAATACCTCTCATTTTTCACTAATTGGATACATTAAGTAACGTTGTAATCAATTAAATAAACCAAATAGACTAATATATATATGTATATGTTCCTAAATGTATATTTATATTTTTATAAAAATGATGAAATTAGTTGAAAACTCGACATCAACTTTAGTTAAGAAAAGAACCGGATGCTTTTATTTGCTAGCTAAATTGTATTCCATGGGAACCATCATTCAAGGGTTGAAATTCATATGTATTGATGCTTTGTTTACGGTCCTTCAAGGGCATGCATGTCTATAATGATTGGATGTTGAGTCTGTATGTATATATATATATAGTGGATATCACTTTCTATCTTCTCCAAATATATATATATATGTATACACCAAAATGGTAGGTCATATTCATACCCTCCATAACCGCAATATATAATATTAAGCTGCAAAAATATTACTTTAGGAGCAAACACAATCGATAACGGGCGTTGAATTGTTTCCCACGTCACATCATAATAACCAAATGTGTATATGAGAGGGTTAAAATTAGCGTATTGAAGCATATGGAAAATGCCTATACAGTTTACTAATTCTCTCCTTAGCTGTTTCCCTTCAGGGGAGCGCACGTATATAATTAATATGTATTTATATTTGGTGCTGCAATACTGGCTTTCACTTCCACAATTTATTTTCCTAGTCTCGGAAATTTAAACTCACTCTAATTAACTTTAACTAATAAAAGTTATAGAAATAATTGGATTAATTAGTAATTAGTCCTAGGAAAAAAATAAATGAAGTGTTATACATATTCCATATTAGGAATGAGGTCAAAATAATCCAACAAGATAACTTTTTTTTTTTTCCAAAGTTGAAGTCCTAAGGGAAAATGGGATAAGAAGAAGCCAAGATTTACATATCTTATGGGTGAAGTCATGTGGTAGTGGGGGACATTTGGATGGTCTGCGATTAGTAGTACACAAAAGCACATAGCAGATGGGTCTCCATCTTACGTTTACTAATCTTGTCTCCATCTGATTAATGCTTATCACTAAATTGTTTTAATTCGCTATCATAATCAACAATCCATCACACCTATCTTTGTTTATTCCTTTAATCACCACCCTACATCTTGCATATTATCCCTAATATTGATCTACCCATTTGACCATGATTGCCAATAAAACACAAAATTATATATACCCATTTATATTACATTACTATTCTTATATTTAGTTTGACTAGAAGCTCATCCCATGAGAGTTTTATTTTCTTATTAATTATTATATATTTTTTTATGTATAAATGATCTAATGGATCAAAGTAATATTATAAACTATATAGTAGGAGTAACTTTCTCTATCGAATAACATTATTTAAATTGGTGATAACTTTTATAATGAAGAAAACGAGACTTCACGCTCCCCATATCTTTTATAAGTCGTGCGAAAAGCCAATCAGAGCAGATTTGATTGGCTCAATTATTATAATTTGATTTTATAGAAAATATTTGAAATATAAAAAATAGTATAACAATGCATCCTTAAATCTGTGTAAATTAATCTGAAAATGTTCTTAAAAGAAAAAAAAGAAAGGCTATACGTTCTGATAAAGTAAAAGATTAGGAAAAATAGAAAAAGAATGGTAGAACAATTCTTTTTATGGGTTCTAATCTACACCCACCTTTCCATGTGATTCCACGTGTATATGCTATCCATCCATTCCATACACATAACACATATCCCATATTTCATATACGTACATCAATTGTATACTTAATTTAGAGAGAGGTTTGGTCTTAATTTCTAATAGTCAACCTATGAGGACAAAGAGACATAAAATTTTCATTATCCCAAAAACCAGATTCGTTACTCTCTCTACTACATGTATATATTTTCTTTCTGTCATTAATACTCAGTCCCCACACACACAAGAAAAGACCCAACATATTTACTCACTTTCCTCAGCCTCCCCAATACTTTCAAGAACACAGGCCTCTCTCTCTCTCTCTCTACACGCCTACATTGTATTATATCTTCAATATTTTAATTTATGCTCAAGCAACTTGGAGAAATATGGGTTTTGGAATTTCTGATCATAGTGTTTGTAACACAGGCCTCGGTCTAGGGCTAATTAGCTGCTGCCATGACAAGCAAGAAAAGAATTGTTCTCAATCAGATCATCTTCATCAAGAAAAAAAGAAGAAAATCTCTTTAAAATATGATCATATGTTTCCATCTCTTACATTAGGCCCTCCGTTTGAGGCTTATACAAAGATCGAAGCAGATTTGCAGCCGCAAGCGTCGTCTCCTAGTGCAGTATCCTCATTTTCTAACTCAAGTGTCAAGAAAGAGAGAGAATTTGGAGGTGGTGAAGAAGTTGAGGTTGAAAGAGTCTCTTCAAGAATTAGCGATGAAGATGAAGAAGGAAGCCCTAGAAAGAAACTTAGACTTACCAAACAACAATCTGCAATTTTAGAAGACAGCTTCAAAGAACACAGCACTCTCAATCCTGTACGTATATTTCCATTTTTCACCGTCTTTATATCTATCTATCCATCTATCTATATAAAATATTGACCACGTTATTTCTTTTTCTGATTTCTTATCAGAAGCAAAAACAAGCCTTAGCAGAACAACTGAATCTCAGGCCACGTCAAGTAGAAGTTTGGTTTCAAAACAGAAGAGCCAGGTAATAATTTTTAAAAATATTTTTAATCATTCCTTTTTATTTTGTTCCTCAAATATGACGAGGATTTGAATTCATAATCTCAAGGTTGATCTGTTAAAGAACCGTAATTATAAAGCGAGAGCTTCTAAATTAAAGTGCTGAGTGTTTCTTTAATGAATTCTTAATTAATTAGAGCATGTTAATTATTTTACTAATTTGGATAGGACTAAGCTGAAGCAAACGGAAGTAGATTGTGAGTTACTGAAGAAATGTTGCGAAACATTAACAGAAGAGAATAAGAGGCTGCAAAAGGAACTCCAAGAACTTAAATCTTTGAAACTGACTGCACCATTATATATGCAGCTGCCGGCAGCAACCCTCACCATGTGCCCTTCTTGTGAGAGGATTGGCAGTGGCGGAGATGGCGGCGGCTCTTCTTCCACTAGCACTTTAACAGTCGGACCAAAACCTCCTCATTTCTACACTACTGCATCTTTCACCCACCCATCAGCTGCTTGCTAAGCACAATAATCTAAATCTAAGTGAGGCCTTAACACAAGTATTATTTTTGTTTATGGCTTCTGTGTCATATATAATCAATTAAGGGCTAGTTAATTAAACTAATTTTGTAGTCTCATATCCCTCTTTTTCTTATGTACACATGGTTGAAAAGTCTTTAACAAAATTTCTATTAATGAATTTTACTTAGTTATTTGTATTAGAATCTTGATTTCCATATTACGGAGAATTAAATTATTAATGCTGCTCTTCCAAGCCATTTCTTGTATATATGATTATGAGAATTGAGAATTAGGTTTAATTAATTATGGGAGAAAGGTGAGTTTGCTTCAAGCTTTAGTCTTGAAGGCAAGTTGATAATACACTAGGAAGGAATATTATTCTTGGAAGGTGTGGTATTCTTGTTTGGAGGATTAACTGCCTGCAACTGCAACTGTTACTTTCTTCTACCTTCGATAATTGATTAATGACGCATTTGATGATGTCATATAACTGTCCCTGTTCGAAGGAGAATTTTAGTAAATAGAAAGTTCATTTAACTAATTAAGAATGTCGAAGGGATCTGACTTGTTGTGGTACATTATATTAGTGGAATCTGTTATAATTACACAATCAATATTTGATAATTATAATATAAAATAAAAACAGATATATGTGTATTTTTATTGGAGAAAATTAACCATTTTTTAATAAGTAATTTTTAAAATATATAATTTATTATTTCTTTTCCGAGAAGGATAACAAAAATTAAGAATTTATTTGAAGTGATGGAGTTTAAATATTATCTTGTAGATAATTGATTCATGGAATTAGTTAATTTCATAATTTATAAAGTGGGATTTTCTCAATTTTGTCATTTTTAATAATAATAATAATAATAATAATAATAATAATAATAATAATAATCGAATTTAGAACACTTAATATTTATTGTATAAAACAGCTTTTATAACTACATATTTTATTTTCCACCAAACAATTGAATATAAAATTTTATAGATTTTACAATTAATCATTTTTACATTCCATAAAGTTTATGAAATGTATAGATTTCATGTTGTGGAAATCCTTCCATCAATTCTGGCAAGCGGCATTCAATTGAATCCGCTTATGTCATGTCAGTTTAATGATTAGGATGAATCTCATTGGATACTCATATAGAAAGTCTGTACTTAGATAGATCGCTATGCTTTTTATTTTTGTTACTCTTTCCATTTTTTTTTTTTTAAATATAGTAATCCTAAATTTTATTTGTTTCTAAAAAATAATTTATTTAAATAAAATTAAATTTTTTGATATTTCGAGCGTTTGGAAAAAAAATATTTTTCTAGTTAAATAAAAATTATTTCTAAAGAAAATGACTTATTATAATCTTATAAATATACATTTTTAATTTATTAATTATCACTGCCCACGAGCCACCGTTAGCCACCACCGCTGATCATTCTTGAAATTACAATTTTTATCATTTTTTGAGAATTTTTTTCTCATGTTTAACAATAAAATTTTTAAATATGAAATGTTTATAATTATAAATATTTTTACATTCATAAAAAATTAAAAATTTTAATAATTTTAATTAATTATCAACATTGTAATTCAAAAAATGAGAAACATTAAAGGAAAATAATTTTCTTTAAAAAAATATTATTAAAAATTAAGTTATTTTCTAGAAACAAATGAAAAACGTTAATCTTGACCTGAATAATCTGCTAAATGCTACTTTATTGATGTGAAACAAAGTTAGCATGACACATTTACAGTTTCTTTTGTCAATTAATGTATTAAATTATATCAAATTTGTATGGAAAAATATATTCCAAATTATAATTCAAAAATTAGCAATTAAAAGTTTATCAGAGATGTCAACTACTTCGGTTGTTCCAATCAGCTATTAGCAAATAAAAAAGAGTTTAAATACATAATATATGTAGTTGCCATCAAAAATATCTTTAAGAAGCTCCATTAAATTAATTAAAACACCCATATCTACCATAAGTAGGACGTATAACTACTTGCAAATTATACTTGTTAAATATAGTGATTTACAATATTAATACGCAATTCTTTGCCAATATAAGAACATTATCTCTGGAATTTACGCATCACATAATAGTTAATCGCTTATATTAAACCAACTAAAATTATTATAAAGCCCCAAAAACTATTTAAAAGAGACCAACAGTTGACGATACAAAAAAATAATAATACAAAAAATAATAAATATTATGGGATTCTGAACTTCAAAATCGACTTTATAACGTTTATAAAGTATTTGATAAATCAAATTTTTCATAAATTGAACTATTTATTTTGTTAAAATAAAAATTAAATATAATACAATTTTTTTCGTGAAAAAATTATATGGGTTATTGAGCGAAACATACACCAACTACGGCCAAAAGAGCACAGAGCCGATGAGGACAAAGGGCAAAGTTACGAGCAGAAGGGGTTACTACCAATGTTATTTTGTGTTGTCTAATGTGTAAATCATAGATTTTTGTCTTCTTGGCAAATTGGCTTACGTGATTAATTAAACTACATAAATTTCAAAACTAGATGACAAAGGAGAATCAAACAAGTATAACTAAAGGTATCAATCCTAGATAAAGCCTAGTAGAAAAATTAGTTCGCTAATTATCATAACTAGAAAAATTATTATTTGATAAATTAATGATGATGACTTGACGTCCTTGAATTATCCACAAATAATTTTTCTTCTTCTTTCTCTTAGAATTTTTTTTTTTTTTTAGCGTCATATATCTATTTATTCTTTCAGTCGCCGCCTCATTAATTTCTAATTAGTACAATTAATTAATTATAATACATTATAAAAAATTGTCATTAAGGAACTCTAACTGTTGTTCTGTTATTACCAACTTCATTGTCAATATCGATCTCAACAATTCTTTGTAATTTATTTATGCATGTAAGTGTTTTGCAATTTATATTATAAGGTAGGTCATTTTCGATTTCTGTGTTTTGAAGAAGCATATATCTGTCTACGAGTCTCGATTATTTTAGGTTCGATCCATGAACAAGTGTAGGTAAGTTTTACTTATTATAATTTAGAATTGGTGGGATAATTGTATTGGTCTCATGGGTCTATTTATCAAATTAGATTAAGTTTTAGTGTGTTCTGCAGATAAGATTTTTTTTTTAAAAAAAAAACAGAAATGGCCTATCTATAGGGTCGATGTATAAATAAAGGTTTTAGAAGACATAGCATGCAAATACTATAAAAATGTCAATGGATTATCTTATCTAACTAATTATGATCAGTAGCACTAATAATGCAGATTGTGACGATTAAGAAATTTGGAACTTTCCAGGCAAAGAAAGTAAACAAATCCAGCAATTAATGATAAGAAAAAAGAATAATTTAACTGTCACCATTTTCTCTCCTCTGTGTTCACATTAGACTAGACAGAGAGACACAGTGCACTGAAGATTTAATGCTTGTCACTTCAGTTCTCGTGTGAAATGCATTTCTAGCTGATAGTGATATTGATTTTTTTATCAAATATCCCAAATATCAAAGTCCAAGCTCAAAAAAATCATTTCAACAAAATTGTCTTCTCGAATCCATGAAAATGTTACAAGAAAAAGAAATTTTGTCCATTTTTAGTTGTTATAGGGTATTTGGGTTGCTGAAGATATACCGTATATTCAAACTCAATTAATGTTTGCGTTCTATTAATATTTGAAATATTGAGATCAAACGAGTTCGAGCTTCGCTTATTTATTATTCGTAGTTTTTCTTTTTTTAAAAAACAATAATAATAATTTCCAAGTTCAAACTATAGCTTGTGTATAAACTCTTTAACTCAGATATTCATGAATTTCGTTTCAAAATCCAAAATTTGGCTTGGAAAAGTTATTTAGCAGGTCAAGTTAAACTTATTAAATTTATTGAATGTTTGAAGGAACTTTTTCCGAGCTGAATCTTGAGAAATTTACTAATGATTTGAAAACAAAAATCTCAATAATAGTCATCTGTGACTTCTTGTAGGATATGATATAGATCATTCTGAATAAACATTTTATCAAGTGTAGTCTTCTTTTTGTTTTATTGGTTAAGTAGCAAGAGCTGCCATTTGCTGGTTTTTTATGCAGAATGTGGCTTTATCGCTGCTGCAATTTTTTTCGCAGCGTTTCACTTTGGTTGCAGCTTCAAATTGTAACCCTCTCAAGCTTGCTTTACTAATAAAATTTTTAAATCCTGCCTAAGAGAAAAGGATGGAAGCTATAAAAGTTTTTAAGTCTTTGACCTTTTAGTTGTTTATATTCTAAAGCTACGTTTGGTAAGCCATAACGCAATATAATAGTAATTGCAATGCATGAATATCTTTGTAATGTCCTAAACACCTTGTATTGGATCGGAATGAATATGATCACAGAATCTTATAATTTAAATTTACCATAATCACTAAATTTTATTTTAAGTAAAATTTAAATTTTGATTCTATTTCAACAAAATCGTTTTTTTTTTTTTTTTTTTTGGTAAATTCACTAATAAGGGGGAAAAAAATGACCCATAGCGGAAATTAGGCAGTACTGATATAGACTTGCACAAAAAAGCCTTCAGAATAGAACAGCAAAATAGTTTTTACCCACCAACAAAATTTTTTCCTCGGTCGAAAACCAAAATTAAATTTTATAAATTTAAATTATAAATAATATTTTATAAAACAAATTTATTTATATTAAATCATTCATACCAACGAATATATGGAAATGACTCTTATTATATACACTTGCACGTAACCTTGCAGAAAATGCAAACACAGCACACTGAGAAATCAAGATTACAAACCTCTCTCTCTCTCTCTCTCTCTCTCTCTCTCTCTCGTGTTAACAGTTTTCTCTTTACATACAAAGCACTTCAACACTCCTAAGATCATATATCTAAGGAAGTGATGCACGATAGCTAGAGACTGGAATTCCATCTTCAACATACGGGCGATGGTACCGACGAAGATTATGGCAATGACATTTCATATAACATAAAATATATATATATATATTGTTATCATTTTAGGTTCTAGAGCATAGCCTAATTAAGCTTTCTCCAATAAAATATAACATGAACATGAGTAACAGTTTCCATGTTATAGACCTGAACACGAAAACTAACACTATATTGCTGCTCATGGACCTAAACGATACGGACCATCACCCATGTAGTGACCATCCATATAAAGAGCTGCATTTTGTGGATGTAAACCATCCATCACCATGAATTGCATATCTTCCGATGGTTTCCAATGCCGTTTTCTTTGATTTATGAACCAATTATTTATTTGTTTTTGGTCCAACCCAGTTGATTCTGCCAGCGCCACCTTCTCCGTCTCCTAATAGTTATAACAGGCAAGCATATTAATATATAGCAATATAATTATTTGACAATTTTTCAGTAAAAGCTAGCACCTAATGCACTTACAGAAGGATATGGCCATTTGTAGTGTAATTCCCACCAGCTAAGTAGCTTCTGCCTTGCCTCTTTGGGTAGTTTCCCTTTCTTTTTTTTCTTGGAAAGTTCCTGCTTAAGACTGCTTAAGTAACCACTGTATTTCCTCAATAAGTGGTTCTTTAGTTCACGATCCTCTGCCCTGGGATCAATCTCGGGGAGTTCTGTTTCACCTCCACTGTTGTCCTGGTCCTCTTCAGATGAACCTACACCCTCAGACTTCTCATCTGTGCATTTCATGAATTTAGAAAAAGAAAATTTTAGAAGGTACATATATATGCTCAAATAGAACTCAAAAAGCAATAACAATGTCCAATTCCAGCCTTAATAGTAAGGAAAAGAGTATGATCTATCACTTGGAAATTTATGCTATAAAAGAGTCGGGCGCAGTATTTTTATGCATCCACCCCCACTTTTTGAAAACAGCAATTCTACAAATAATTCTGCCAGAGCTCTCCCTCTCACATTCGATTCTCATGATCATGTTTGAAATTAGAGACCAATTCCTTTCTTCACTGCAATACGGTATCCATATGGCTGAATACCTCCTACATAAAATTTTTTGGAAAAATTGCTTCCATACATCAGAGATTATAATGGCCTAAACTTTTCCCTTGCTTTTGATTCTATATGAACAACTGCAATGTAAAAGTATCTCTCCAAGATATAGTAGTTCAAAGGTACTCGAGCTTGACTATTTCTTAGCCACAGCGTAACATTCTTTCCTGCTAAATTTATACATTTTATGTTGTCAATATACTGCTACAATCAAATTTATATAGTGTCATAAACCAATTAAATAAAATAGAACCTCCTAGCATATCTCGTTTCTTCAATTAAGTTTACCAAGTGGTGAATATTAAATACACAAGCTATTCCCAGAACAAAATGACAGAATTCTAGTGTTTTCCTTGTCAGCAACATTCCTTTTCAACAGTGTACTCATTGCTACTCGCAGCCTAGCAAGAAGGATGGTTCAGCTTTTACCCTAAATCGAGAATCATAATGCTCTAAATGACCATGTAAATCCCAGGGAACAGGCCTCAAAAAGTCCTTTGACAGCCGAAGAATTATATACTACTTTTTTTCCCCCAAAATTCCAAAAGTTCAGAATCAATATAACAAAAGCTCGATAAGTAATTGAACATCAGAAAAATGTACTAGCAAGTTAACATGGCAGAATATACAAGCCTAGATGAACAGGAACTAGATAAATAAATCAGCCTAAACCCAAAGTCACAATGATTAAAATTAGAACATGTGTATCATTGCGCTCGAAATATTACTAAGTAATTGACAGTGAGCACATTGCCCATGGCTTTTAGCAATCATCAAGTCAATGCTGGGAAACAGCATAACAGCTAAGCACTGGCTTCTATAACGTGTTTAAAGGCAAAGTTAAAGCTCCTTTTCTCTATGTGCATCATCTTTTTCATAGACATGTCGTTCACTTCACAGAAATGCAGAGATAGTAATTAGGCAACACATGTCAATCAGCAGTAACTCAACTAACATAAAGGGGGGAATATTCGCTGTGGTATCAAAGAATTGAAGTGCTGTAAAAGAGAGGGAAAAAAATACATAAACAAAGAAGCTGAAGGCTTGCGGGTGAAAGATACAAGAATGGAGAATAAGTAAAAATATTGCTGAACTAATCATATATTCGCATATCAAATGAGAGTCAGAAATTGTTGTCGATGTTCGAATGATGTAAATATTTTTCTATTCAAAGAGAAAATAGTTCAAATTTGGTAGTTACAAGGGAATATAACCTAGACGATATACTACACTTCCAAGAATATGTAAGGAACCTGTGCTCCTCCTTTTATTTCTACGGCCACTGAATAAGAATATTGCTATCGCAAAATTTTGCTTTAGTTGTTGGACTAACAATTGCCTACTCTCATTTTAAAAATATTCCACTAATACATTTTTAATTGGCAATCCATTTCTGATTCCAGTTTAACGTTGTGAAAGGAAAACAATTAACAAAGTACAGATAGAGCTACATATTGGCAGTATCCATCAAAATGACAATCTACACATGATTCTTAATCAAACGTAAAAGACAGAAAGAATCAATCAAGCATCTTAAGTCCTCTTTGACAGTTCAAGGCAAACATAATTATCTATTTATATCGGTATCCTGACTATACTATGTAAGCACCAACATCATTATGATAATAGCCAGGTTCATAGACATTGATCCAGCTTCAAATTTATAGTGATACAATGATAGAGTGACTTATGAACAGTTAAGAAAAACTAATGAAGAATGCGAAAGCTATATATTTACAAAAGAGAAATCAAGAATTAAGTTCAAAGCCATATATGGGCATCATTTTACATAATAAATTAATCAGATTTTCATGTTTAATTGCAAATAACTTGAATTGACCCAAAACGAAAAAACTTAGAACAAACCTTTTCTAAGTAAAAATTTCTTCATTGTAAACAGAAACCATGCTTTCATATGAATCAAAATTCAGTGCCATTTTCTCCCAATCTTTTGCTCTCCCTTCCTCACCTTCCCTTCTCTATCCTCTCCTCTCCACTTTTGCTTGTTTCCAAATAAGTGTACTAAGAGTGTTTGAGTGAGCCTAAAACTGACCAGACAGACTAAAAACTTAAGTAGAATCGGCAGATAAAGATTATTTAAAGATGAAAAGAAAAAATATTGGTTAGTGAACAAAAAGGAGGAAAAGGGTGTGAAACTGTGACTGAGCGGATAAACAGAAATTTAAAAAAGAAATAGTCTGACAAATCCGTACAGGCTAAATGGGGGAAGCACATATTTGAACGGCATCCAAGGTTCTTCGATTTACAAATCTTTTAACTCAAACTAAAATTAAATAAACTAAAATAAAATTCCACTTCCACATTAAAAAAAAAAAAAAAAAAAGCTTGACCAAGACACAGATAAAACTGTAAGTAGAATCAGGCGATAAAGATTATTTTAAAGATGAAAAGAAAAATATTGGTTAGGTGAACAAAAAGGAGGAAAAAGGGTGTGAAACTGCTGACTAGAGCGGATAAACAGAAATTTAAAAAAGAAATAGTCTGACAAATCCGTACAGGCTAAATGGGGGAAAGCACATATTTGAACGGAAGCAATCCAAGGTTCTATCCGAATTTACAAATCCTTTTTAACTCAAACTAAAATTAAATAAACTCTGATAATTCCACTTCCCCACATTAAAAAAAAAAAAAAAGGAAAGAACAAATTAGAAAAAATAATAATAATAATTCCATCCATCTCGAGGTGGTATATGTACACTTGTATAGGTAATACCCACAAACTACAGAATCAAGATTTATTCCCAAAGAAATAATAATATAAAAAAAAAAACCTAAAAAAAAAAAAAAAAAAAGGAAAGAACAAATTAGAAAATAATAATAATAATTCCATCCATCTCGAGGTGGTATATGTACATGTATAGTATATCCCACAAACTTACAGAATCAAGATTTATTCCAAGAACTATATATATAAAATAAAAGTACCTAGACTTTAGCAACAAACCCTAATGAATATAATTTTGTCGGATCATTAAAATAAAAACTAATTAAAATCATTAATCTGGTCATGAACGTGAAATACCATAATTGTTTAGAACATATAAGTGCGTTTTGTCTTTGGTTCCTTTCATGTAGATTTAAGAAAGATTTATATATATATATATATATATATGGAACTAAATCCAAAGTTCTGCTTCTACTATAGACTCGTGATTAGATTAGGGTTTGTTAATGGATTACTTGTAACTGTACGGTCAGTCTTTTTCTTCTCATCCCCTTTCTTATTCCTCGTACAGTAGCTAAGGCATAACCTTGGTCAAAGTGTGTTTTGCTTGATAAGATTAGAAATAGTTAGTGAATGGAGAAATGGACTTCTGGTAAGGATTTTCTCTATGAAGTAATGGCCAGTAGGACTGACTACCAGTTCTTGAACCGTACCAGTCGGGTCAAGTTAAACCCGTCTCTGCAACAACTGAAACTTATTAGATTCTTCTGTTCTTTTCCACTCCAGGCAAGGCTAAGGCTAAGAAACCCTCTCCCTCCCTCCCCCTCCTCCTCCATTTAAAATAGTTCTATCTTCCTTACAAATTTTACATAAAAGGGTTTTCTATTCAGTAAGTGAAGTAGAAGGAGGGTAGAGACGAAGTACCGGAATTAAAGATCCGCAAGGGACCATTGCAAATCATATTTAGCTGCGTCTCGATTCTTCGCATGAAATCCATGGCTTCTTGAATGGGTCTGGTTAGTTCTTCCCGGTACTTCAGCAACATGTCACAATAAGCCTCCTGTTATCGATCATTCAATTAATTAAACCAATCAATAAACCCAAATACCAAATGCACTAAGATCTTGTGTACCTAATATAAATACCAATCAGATAAATGCAAGAATAGGCTAATCAATTAATTAAGAGCTGAAGGAATCACCATGAACTGATCTAATTCCGGGTCTTTCGAAGAATCTCTTGAAGTAACAGAAGAACGTTGTTTTGATTCAAACTCTTGACGAGCAGCTGCAAGCCTAGCTACAACTTCAGGCGGAGCTCCAACCTAGACATGATTAAACAGACAGTGAGAGAAAGGAATAAAGAAAGAATCGGTTTTGAAGTTGTCTTTTTCTATATTATGTAGCATAATTTTTAGTCGTTTACCTTTTGGCAATCCAAGAAAGCTTCCAAAAGGTTAGAGTACTGAGGATGATTAATAATTTTGGCTTTGATAGCTTCAACTTCAGTACTGGAGCCTTCGTTCCCTTGTTGATGATGACTAAGTGGTTGATGACCTCGTAATAAAGGATAATGAAATTTTTGAACATGTTGAGAAGTGCTAGCTTCTGTTTTCACTATAGGATGTGCTTCAGAATGAAAACATTCACTTGATTGCAGATGGAAACGACTTAAGGGCATCTGGGTTTGTTGATTACTAACGTTAGACCCACTACTTGTTCGTCCATATGGTGAAGAAGAAGAATTAGGTGCAAGAACCGGTGATGCATACAAGAAATTTCCTCTTGGAGTTGTGTTCCCATTTATTTGATTATACTCCTCCATTTCTTAACACTCCCAAAAAAAAAATTTGATTTCAAAAATACCAAAAAACCAAAAACCCTAAACCAAGAACTATAAAATACAGAAAACCCTAGAAAGTTTGGACTTCAAGGCATCCAAAATCCATAAGTTTCAATTTATGGTATCTGATTATATGAATTATTAAGAAGTTATGGATAAGTGAAATAAGGAAATGAAAATTTCAGTTTGGTATCTTAGGGAGGTCTTGAAGTGAAGTTGCACCAAGACTTGGACATGGTAGGAAAAGAAAGAGGGCAAAAGAGAAACTAGTAGATCAGAGAAAAACTTAAAAATAATAAATAATAAAGAAGAGATTGATCTCAAACGCTGCAAAGAGAAGCAGAAGACCAAGGTTAGAAAGAAAGAGTGTTAACTAAGCCGGAACCGGCAAGAGGGCTGCGTTTCTTAGGTGGGTGACAAGACTTTCTTTGATGGAAAAAGAAATATTTGAAAATTATAAAGGCAAAGAAGGCCAAGAGATAAGGCAACTCTATTCAAGATTTTTCTCTCTCTCTCTCTCTCTTCCTCCCTTTTTATTATTTATTATTTATTTCCCTTTCTTTCACGGACTTTCTTTTTATTTTCTGATTTTTTTATTATTCTGTCTTTATAGTAATGTTTTCATTTATTTATGGATTTTGAACTTGACGTTCTGTTCCTTTACTCGCTTTGGAGGAATAACTAACTATTCGTTTAACTAATTATTAGCCTTAGACACCTAATTGTAGCTTTAGCTTAGCTCCTTCTTTGCTTATTTCATTTGTCTTGACCACTGGGATTTGCCATTTACCTAATCGACGGCTATTTATAGCATGCCATTGTGACGTTCTCCATTGTTTCTTTTTTGCCATTTTTAACACCAATCAAAGTTTCTTGATGTAATTAATGCAACAATTATGTTGTCGTACGAAATTTTTTTTTTTTTTAAGTTTGTAATAAAACTTATTATCCCAAATTTAAATGTTCAATAGTTTAAGTTAATGAAATTGAACCGTTAATCACTTCTTTTTCAATATGAAATTAGCCATAAAAAATTAATCAAGCCAACCAAAGTCCTTGGATTCTTTGTATTAGTGAATTTAATGATACATTTGTATCGGTTAAAAGATTTCAAACTATATTTTAATAGCTGTTGTTAGAATTGATGTATTTATAATTGATATAAGTGTAATTTCAAATCTAATGTTTGATTAAATTCCATTGTAACAATTAAACCCTCTTTTTATCTAATTAATTTGATTTTTATTGACAACTAATGAATTTACAATTTTTAAAATTGCTTTATTACTCCTTCCATTCCTTTCAAAATGTCACAAATTTTTTTTTTTATTTTTCCCCGTTTTATCTGTTATTTTTGAAAATCAATCAAGCAATAGTTTTTTTGTTGTTTAACATCACATTCTGTCTTTATATCTCTATTATATATACAAGCATTAAATATTTAAAGAATTGATAAAAGAATGACAATCAACAATAACTTTTTTTTTTTTACATTGAAATTGTTTGATGGTTTTTTTTTTTAATCCTTATAAAATTTAGAGTTGTAAGGGATTATCAATAAGATAAATTAATTGGAAAAATAAATTATAGTCATTGTTCAGGTATTTCTTCAGCTTTTCTAGCATTCTTCTTTTATTCGAAGAGAAGTTTTTAGGTTGGTTCTCTTGATTTGTTGTTTTGGTTTTTTCTATGAGCTAAGATTTTGGTGTATAGGGTACGCCTATTGTCTTAGGTGTAGTCGCTTGGGCGTGATAAGTTTTCCTTATAGCTTCCTTATTGAAATTAATATTCCGATTGCTGATAAAAAAAAAAAAAAAGATAATTGTGAAATAAATTCAAAGAAAAACATATAGTAATTCAATTATTTTCTTAATTTTTGTAAAATTAAAAAATTCAAAATTAACATAATTGAAATAATAAGAAATTTTAAAATTTCAAAAATACCAATATTATACACCAATATTTTTCAAAATAACTTATAGTTATACTCTAATTTTTTTTATGTGTTAATTTCATACACTTCTATACTACATTAAAGCTATTTCTTTGACACTTTGTGACGCTCTCAAAAATTTTATATAATTTATTAATAAAATTTAAAATTGAAGATTTAAATTTAAATTAAATAAATATTCATATTTAAAATTAAAAAAATAAAATAGATATAAAAGAATGGTAAATCCTATGTGATTTTTTACGGCAATGTTATTGTCTGATTTCGAATTCAAAAATTGACTCACAAAGTTTCCTTTTATAATTTTAAATCACAATTAAAAAATAAGAGTTCAAAATCCAGGCACAAAGTGCAGAAGCCTGCGATTATTAGTAGTACTTATTTTTAAAAATTTTAGTCTCTTGCAATAAATGACGTGTGTCCACTAATGCTTTTGAATTTTCATATCTAATTATACTTTTTTCTATTTTAACAATCTAGCATATTCGTTCACGTTGTTTATGATTTGTCGACATTATATTAATTTTTTGCTGTGACAACTATAATTAATTTGTCAATCAAAATCATCCGGAAAAGGGAAAACGACATTTGAAATTTTGCGTTTATTGAATTTTTAGACAATTAAATCAGTAAGAATATATGAAAGGATGTACTACATTGATTTTATTTGGTAATAAGGTGGTTTCATATATCAATTTTCCATATTTTATGTATTAAAATTTTTAACTAACTCTAATTAGAATTACAGATCACTTTCGAAAAAGAAAAATTACAACTACAGAATAATATATATATTGAATTTTAACTCCAATCATAAGAGGTTGAAACAATTACAAACTATTTATTGTTGAGAAGGGAAATTGAAAATATCTATAAAAACAGAACTGATACGAGGTATATTTTCTTTTAACTAATGGAATAATTCTTGGAGACGGATCAAAACATCTTAAATTTATTATTAGAATTAGAATGAGTAATTAATATTTTATATCTTGTCCTTAAACAGAAACATAACCTAAAATTAACAAAGAAATCTTTTTTAAAATGCAAATCTAAACTAAATCATTCAGCAAAAAGCTTTTCAACCACTAACTACATGTTTATATAATATAAAATAATATATTGTGGAGATGGAATGACCTCATGGGAATGGGAGTGTACTGGTGTGCAATAGGATGAATGAACGTAAGCTAATCAGAGAGAAGAATCCGTATATGAGTTTAAGAGTACGAAATTTCAACGGTAAACAGTGAAAAGAGTTTCTCTGCCACAATATTTGTACTGTTTGTGGTGACCAGTTGCAGGAAAACCACGTGTGCTGTACACAGTCTCATAGAAATTGAGACCAGAGAGAGAAGAGAAAAGAAGAAGAAGAAGAAGAAGAAGACTTATTAGTAAGAGACATAAATGGCCTCTGCAAAGAGGTATAGCTGGCGGCTATTTCCACCACCATATCCTCCCCCCCCCCCTTGGAATGTACCTCATGGAATGGAAGTGGTACGGTGGTGCAATAGGAATCGAATGAAACGTAAAGCTAATCAGAAGAGAATCCGTATTGAGTTTTAAGAGTACGAAAATTTCATCAACGGTAAACAGTGAAAAGGAGTTTCTCTGGCCACAATATTTGGTAAAGCTGTTTTGTGGTGACAGTTGCAAGAAAACCACGTGTGCTGTAACACAGTCTCCATAGAATTGAGACCCCGTGAGAGAGAGAGAGAAAAGAGAAGAAGAAGAAGAAGAAGACTTATTTAGTAAGAAAAGACATAAATGGCCCTCTGCAAAGGGGCGGGGGGGAGGTAATAGCTTGGCGGCCTATTTCCCAAAACCACCGATAATGTCCTCACCCCCGCTCCCTCCCCCCTTCCTCATCTTCCTAAAACATCACCCCGGCCGCTGCTGTTGCGCAGGCTTACAAAACACTTTCTTTTCTTGTCTTTTTTATTATTTTCCCTGTTTTAGGATTGGACATATCCAACTCAGGGTACTGGTCCAGGTTAATCCCTAGCATGCTGTTTTGCTGCTGGCTATTCCCCCCCCCCCTCCCCCCCTTTCCCCATTTCTAAAACATCACCCCCCGCTGCTCGCGCGCTACAAAACACTTTCTTTTCTGTCTTTTTATTATTTTCCCTGTTTAGGATTGGACATATCCAACTCAGGGTACTGGTCAGGTATCCCTAGCTGCTGTTTCTGCTGCTATTTATCACTTGTCACTCGCTCCCTCACTGCAACTCTCTGCTCTTCTTCGCCACTTCCCTATGCATTTTTCTTAGTAACAGTTATTCACCATGTCCATATACGTTCTTTACTTTTTATTTAATTATAAACTAATAAACCATTTCTTGGAGGGTTTTTTTCCAAAGAAACCTGTAATAGCTTTGTTTTAATTAATTAAACCTAACTTAATTATCCAGTATCAGGGATTAGCTAGAAAGATTAATGTAGTTAGTATATTTATTAATAGTAGATGTACAGTTTAGATGTCTATTATTGGTGCTGGCCTTTTTCCAGTCAAATCATCGTCTTCAATCATCATATATGAATGAGCTGTTCCTGTCATGTCAACCCAGCAGCTACCCAAGGAGAAATTTTGAAAAGGGCAAGGGAATGGAGATTTTGCGCTACATGTTTGCCTTATTTAGTAGTTGCTTATGATAACATGTTTGATTTTTAAATGACATTCTTAACGGTAAAGTTAATTATTTCTAATTTAACAGTATTAGACAGTGGTTAGCACCTGCTCGATCGAACACACACATATGATATAAGCTATAGGAGAATCGATTTGTGGATGTTAACATTTTAATTTTTGCATTGTCTGTCTGAAAATCAGGGGAAAGGAAACTGTTAATTAGGTCAATTTATTGCCTACTTTTCTAATGCAATTATGCAAGTATATAGTTTGTAGCAGTGTTCCAAGCCTATTAGGAAATAACTTTTGTTTGTGTCTATTAACATTTTTATTTAATCAAAACGCTATTTCTATTATTTATATTATATAGTGTTTGACAGTATAGCATTTATATTATATTTAGAGCCTGAGAAAACGAATTATGAAAAATTACTTCTTTAACATTTAATAAAACACTAGTTTATAAATACTTGATAACTACTAAAATAACGAATTTTGCTAAATAGACCACAAATATCCAATATTAATCTAAAATCATGGTTTTAAAAGTTGGTATATATATTTTTCATATTTAGCTTGGTTGGGTTAAAATTTTTATAAACTACTATTATTAGTTTGCTTCATACAAGTTTGTAGCAAATTTATTTATTTATTTATTTTTTTTTTTTTGAAAGAAAGCAAATTTAATATTAATAGTTGATAATAACAATTAAAGTAGAAATTAGTCCCAAAATCCCTTTCTCACAGTCAAATCTGTTTGAACAGTGGTAAGGATCTCTAATCTAATAATTAGTATAGTTAGAATAATAAAGCTAATAAAACCCCAAAAAAGGGTAAAATCAAGAGATTAGCATAGGCTTCCCTTTTGGTTGATCTAGCTAATTACCAACAATTAATAATTAATAATAAAAGCATAATCTTCCACATTAC